ACCCGAAGAGAAAAGTAATTCTCAGTCTTGCCCAACTGTGAACCTGTCGTGATATTTTGTTTGCGTTTTAGCAGATAAAGTTTTCCTGAAGTTCAGAGTGCAGAGCTAAGTCACCAGAGGCCATGGAGTGGTGGCACACATCTTTAATCTCAGAACTCGGGGCAGACAGATCTCTTTAAGTTCAAGGTCACCCTGGGCTGCTCAAAACTGATCTAGTCTGAAAGAGAAACAGAGCTCACACAAAGGAGATATCAGCACTTAGAATCACAGGCCTTTAATCCCAGCACTAGGGAGGCAGAGACAGGAGTGATATGGCTGGGCAGAGAGAGGAATATAAGGCGGGAGGAGACAGGAGCTCAGTGTATCCTGAGAAGCCATGCAGTCTGAGGACAGGATCACCCCTTTGGTCTGTGCATTAGTAGAGGAAAGAACTCTCTAGTTGCTGGCTACTCTGCTCTGATCCTTCAGCTTTCACCACCCTGATAGCTGACTCCAAGTTTTTATTATTAAGACCAATTAGAACTGAGCTACAGAACCCTATAAGTTACAATAACAACTGGTCTGGCAAGACATGCCCATGTACAAGTAGTGGCAAGAATATCATGGTCATAGCCAACCACTTTCTGATTGAATTTAAGTCCCACACTGCAAGATGAAACTCATACCTGGAGCCATTGTCAGGCCAAGAACCTCTGGGAGAACCGACTTCTGTTATCCTGCTAAAAGGACATAGTATTAAACTGATTCCTAACGACTTCGTGTTATACCCATAGATTAACGCGTCTTTCAACACTAATCAGAGAAGCTTCTATTTTCAGTAGATGGTGATTAACACAGAGGCCAACAAGTGGCCAAGGCACAGAGAATAAAAGACTACGGGATGCTCAGCCCTAACTGGGACATCTACATTGCATCCCTGTATTGCATCCCCCTCCTCCCAAAACTTGGGGACCATTTCAGCAGAGGCAGCAGAAAGACTGTAAGAGCCATAGCTGGAGGATGCATGCAGCAGGACGGCTACACAGATAAACTTAGGGCAGTTGTGAGCACATACACAAGAAGCCCTGTGCAAGCGCAATGTAGACCGCATCCCAGCAGAGAGCGGGGATGGTGCTTTCATGTCCAGCCCTAACCCAGAAGCTATTGCACTGGATAGCTGCTGGAAGAGGGTGAGTCAGGTTTCTTTGAGAGTTTTACTGCTGGTGAGGCAGCCACACCCCGGCGGAAGGTCACACATCCAAGAATATACAGAAAGAACAAATGGTCTCAATAGGTGAAGAAACAAAAATAGAGGACACAAAGTTGGTGTATCTGGGACAATATGATCAAAATATACTATAGGAGAGCCTCAAAGAATTAATAAAAATAGGTAAAATATTTTAAAAATAAGTTTACCATTTGAATCTATAATTATAATTAATGAAAGAAGGTAGAATAACAGGCTGAACCAGTTGTTGATTCACACACAAAGTCCAATATCAGCTTGTCCTCATGGATTTGGCCTGTGTAGAGACCCTAATGATGGATGACATCATGGTAGGGACATGCCTGATCATATCTTGAGACAAAAGTCTGGAGACAAAGATTCGGTGGCAGAGATCTGTTCTGTAGCTGCTCATGGTGGGAAAACTAACTCCAGGGCTGTCAGGATAGTTCAGTAAGTAAAGGCAGTTGCTGGACACATCTGGTGACCAGAGTTCAGCCCCTCAGAAGTCACAGAAAAGGAGACGAAGAGGACCAACTCCACAGAGTTGTCCCCTGGTCTCCATGTGTGCTGTGTGGCACATACGCACCCTTTAAGAATGGTAATAACCAAATATTGAAAACATATCTAGTTCATGTTCCATGAGTATGACTCTACTCCCTTCTAAGGCCACTCAGACCGCTGAGGAGGTGCTGACTTTAGCAGCATCCTACTGAAGACTGAGCCTCCAGCACGGGATCCGGGAATTGGGGCATTAGCGACACACTCAAACCATAGTGGAGGGCATTGATTGACGTAGGTGGGAGGCCATGATGACTCAAACAAGGCAGAGGTAGTGTCAAATGGCCCCGTGAAGGGTGTAGTTTAACATAGAGCTGACCATCTTCACTGATGTATTATTAAGAGATGTATGTGAAATTAATCAGTGATGACCCCAGCAGTTTTGGGTCTGGGCAACTCTTAAGGGTGAAGACCCCACCCACTGCTGGGGAAGAATGTAAGTGGAGCACTGCCGGGTGAGATGCCAGGGGTCAGCTCAGGACCCTTGCCTCTGAGATGGTAAACGGTCCTGTAGACGCCCCAGGCAGGGGACTGGATAGGTGAGCTAGAGTTTGAAAGTGAGCCTGGGTAGAGGGGCAAGTATTAAAGTCACACACTCGGGTGCTGCGTGTGCAATCTGCTACGGGAGTGATGGGAGAGGAGCAGAGGCAGACCTGATCCCTGGACTCACAGTGGCTCTTGAAGATCAAGGGCACCACACAGTGGTGTCACTGCTCAGGGTACAGGGAACTTTTCTAGTCCTGTAGGCAGCTTGGCAACCAGCAACCTGGTGTTGGGGCCCCTCTGATTCAGCCACATCATCCTGTTATCCAACCATAGCCTTCATCTTCCAAACTTCAGCTCTAAGATTACAAGAGCCTGGGACCTCTTAGGGGAACTTCGTTCTTGAAGAAGGTATTTCTGGGTGCTGGAACAATACTGAAGGAGAGCTTCTGTAGATTCCCCGGAGGAAGCAGTGGAGGACAAAGCAGGGAATGAGACTCGCCCTCCTTTCCTGAGTCTGTACTAGCTGTCTGAACTCACTTCTCTTCCCAAAGCCCACTCACCTCCCATCACCATAACGTGTCCTTAAAATACATAACATGTGTAACTTCTGTCTCTGGGCCTGTCTGTCACTCAGCCTTCCATTATCTTCCCTTCTCCGAAGCAGTAGAACTGGTCCACACACCTTGTCATCAGCAAGTGATTAAGAGAGGAATAATTGAATTTGGCTCACCATTCAGGGGATTTGGGTCATTGTGGTGGGAAAGGCACAGTGACACACTCCATGATGGCTGGACCACATGGTGGATCTCCACATGTGGCCACTAGACCAGGAAGCAGAAAACAGCACCGAAAGTGGGACCAGGCAGTAGCCCTCAGGCCCCCTCCACTCCACTGTGACACACCTCCAGCCCATCTGCACCTCTTAAAAGGTCCACAAGGTTCCAAGACAGCGCCACCATTTATTCACCAGGTGAATAGACATGAGTTTGTGGGGAGCACTTCCAATTCAAGCTAGAACAGCATGACAGGAAGGGAACTGATATTTATTGTTTCCCAGAGTGCTGCATATATATATATATGCAATGTGAATTTTCCCTCAGAGTTTTGAAAGTCAAAGGTCTAACTGAGTAAGCATGTTTCGCTCCTCCTAGGAGCTCTAGGGCACAATTTGCTCCCCTATCTTTTCCAGGTTTCCCACATGCCTTTGCTATGGCCTGTTGTTCCTCTGCCGTTTGGTTTTCTGGTTGCATCCCATCTTCTGACTCTGGCACTCTGTCCTGTTACCATCACTCTCACGGCTGCACTGCGCCCACCTGGCAATCTATCCAGGATCACATTAGCCAAGTCCATTTGCCATCTCAGGTAGTTGTAACAAGTTCAGGGACTGAGACTGTGGCTAACTGAAGGTTAGTGCTGTTCCTGGTGCTTCCTAAGTGATGTGTTTAGTCTTCTGAAGATTCTCTGATGTGGACATGTGAGTCGTGTTGTGGATGAAGAGACTAGGTGGCTCTAGTGAAGGATTCGGGCTGGGAACCATGTGTGACATCCACTCTTCTGCCTTGCTGAAACCCTATTTGAGTTTCACGGGTCCACACAGCTTCATAGTTTAGGGTGAACAGGCAATCCTTGAATTATTAGTCAAGTTAGGAATTTTCCACTTTATGATAGTTTAAGAGCAGTGGGACCTCCCCTTTTAATGCTAGGCCACAGTAACAAGCCATGGCTTCCAGACGACTGTGCTATGGACTGAAGCAGCCAGTTCTTGATTTTCTACTATGCTGCTGAGCTAGGCTGCTCAGCTGCACACTTGTGTTAGGGGCATTTTCAGTAGGATGTTGTTGGCTACCATTGGGCTATTAGGACATCACTTCATCATAAATGGAGGGGTATCTTTGTCAGCATTCTATTGCTGACAAAATATCATTATATTATATTATATTATATTATATGCTATAACAAGATGCTGCCAACTAGGAGCTTAACAAACAAAAACATCCCATCTTAGAGCTAAAGTCTAGAGCCAAAGTGTTCTAGTAGCAGCTCCTTCTAAAGACTGTGAAGGCAAGATTTATTCCATATCTTTCTGCATGGTTTATAGAAGGCTATTTCCCTGTATCTGTTTAGGTGGTGTTTTCTGGATGTGTTCTGATGTCAGTACCCAAACACACACACACACACACACACACACACACACACACACACACACACGCAAGCACACTTTTTCCCCACTGTGTATTCCTGACTACCCTCAAACCCACAATGTAGACCAGGCTGGCCTTGAATTCACAGAGATCTCTACCTTCTGAGCACTGGAATTAGAGACATGGACCACCACACCTACACCACATCTTGTTTTTAGAGTGACACCATCCTTGGATATATATTTACCATTGAATTGATACACGCTTGCCCCAAAATTCTGATTTAAGCAATCCTCCTGCCTGCCTCAGTTTCCTCCTTGGTTTTATGGTGACTTTTCATACATGTGTGTCATTATAACCTTCTCCGGTTTGTCCTCTTCCATCCCTGCCGGATGCACATCTCTTCTAGGAAAAGCACCCATAAACAAACCCAAAAACGTTTTACAAGCTATTGAGACAGCCCTCAGCCTGGTGAAGCTGACACTCAGAGTGAACCGGTCCACTGAGTGTGAGACTCCACACATCGCTGGTGCTTTGGGAGGGATGGTTGTTGAGTCATCTTTTTCCACTTCCCAGCTCATTGCTTCTCCATCTCATTTCTTTTCCAGGAGAGGAGTTTGCTACTTCGTAAATGGTACGACTTAATGATGCAAAATAAGGACGACCTTGCCAAGATCATAACAGCCGAGAGTGTGAGTTCACCAGCTTGCTGCATGAGGAGGAGTCCTGGAGTGGTTAGGCCAGAGCTTGGGGAAGCGCCTGGCTTCCCCGACTGGTGTCCTGCAGCTTAAGAACACGCAGTCCTTTGATGACAAAGGGACTGGGTCATCATGGTGCTCAGAAAACACATTTGCAGAAACAAAATTTATGTGCTCTAGAGTATTTGTTGCTAATTTGCAAAAAAAATAGATTTGGGGGCTGGAGAAATGGCACAGCAATTGAGATCGTGCACTACTCTTGCAGAAGACCCAAGTTCAGTGCTCTAAGCTCGCATCACGCAGCTCACAACTGCCTATAATTCCAGCTCCAGGGGATCCATTGCCTCTGACCTCTATGGACACCTGCACTTGTGTGCACACACAGCCCACAGACACACACAATTAAAAATAACAACAATAAATATTTAGGAAATAGGTTTATTTAGAGCTTTGTGAACAATGATTTTTAATCACTCCAGTTTTTTAATTTTTAAGATTTATGCTATTATTAATTCATGTATATGTATATATGTACATATGTGAGTGCAGACAAGACTGGAATAGGGCTTTAAATTTCCTAGAACTCGAGTTACAGATGGTTGTGAGCCACCATAAGGGTGCTAGGAATCAAACCCAGGTCACCTGGAAGAGTAGTAGCCAGTACGCTTAGCCTCTGAGCCATTTTTTATATAATATTTTTTATTTATTGATAATTTCATACATACATGTATACAATATATTTGTATTCTTTCAGTTTCTCTCTTCCCCAACTCCAACTCTTCTTTGACCCCTTCAGAGTGTTCCTTCCCAATTCCATGTCCTCTTAATTTTACTTTTGTTAACCTTAGCCCAGCTAGTACTAGTCATGGGTGTGAGGCCATGCCCTGGGGTATGGACAACCTACAAGTGGCCGGTCCTTCAGATAAACTACAGGAGGCTCTCCCTTCCGATAAAAATTATTCCCCCTCCCCCACCAGCCATCCACTACTTATATTTCCTCAGCTAGCACTAGGGGTGTTGGAATTTCGAGTGGCTTGATCTTGTGTTGTTAACTTCAGCTGTTGTGACCCAATTATTTTCTTCTATTTGTCCGTTTTTGTTTTTCTCATTATTATTTATTTATTTGTTTTTGATTTTTCGAGACAGGGTTTCTCTGTGGCTTTGGAGCCTGTCCCTGAACTAGCTCTGTAAACCAGGCTGGCCTCAAACTCACAGAGATCCGCCTGCCTCTGCCTCCTGAGTGCTGGGATTAAAAGTGTGCACCACCACTGCCTGGCAAGTCTTTTCTCATTATTTTTAAGTTTGTAAATTGCACCATTAGTTTGTTCACAGAATAAGAGATTTCACACCACGAATTAGTGTTTGGGAAGCCTTAGACTATGCAGTGCTCCATGTCCACCCCTACTGTGAGCATATGCTGATGGCTGTTCTTACGGCATCTTTTTAAGCCTAAGACTGCACCAATGGGAATCATTTCCCAGCAGCCTCTGAGCTTTGATACAGGAAACTTTTCCTCTTCTTGCGTCTTTGAATAACTTAAAAAAAAAGAACAGAGCTGTTCTTTTCTCTTTTCTTTTTTAGAAGGCAATACACATGACCTTTTCTGGTTTGATTTAGGGAAAGCCGCTGAAAGAGGCCCAGGGAGAAATTCTGTATTCTGCCAGTTTCCTGGAATGGTTCTCAGAGGAAGCCCGTCGTGTTTATGGGGATATCATCTACACCTCTGCCAAGGATAAACGGGCGCTGGTCCTCAAGCAGCCCATTGGTGTGGCTGCAATCATCACTCCGGTATGTAGCGAGACCAGCACAATCCAGGGTGGGAGCCTGGGTAGAGCGGAGGGAAGCAGCGTCCTCTTCCTGGTGAGCAGGTGTGGCCATCTGGCTAGCTTTGCCACCTGTCCGTGGTTTCCTGACTCCTTTCCTGGATGTAGAGCGTGTTTCCACATTCTCTGTGACAGACAGGCCAGATGTAGTGGCCTAAGTGGCCGTGCGTGTTTTCTGATGCCTTCACAAACAGGGTGACCTGCAGAGGCTTTTATGACTTGGCATAGAGACTCCATCCTGGTATTGCCGAGCTCCTCTGAAAAGACCTTTGAAATTGTGTGTGTTTTTTTTTTTAATGGACTTCAAAGGGGACATTTTCTCTTTTTTATTTGTACCATTATTAAATACGTTTACCATGTGATTATCATCAATAGCAAAACATTTGTGCTTCTGTGGGCAATCACAGGGGCAGGTTGTAGAGCTCCAAGAACTGTGAATTAAGCTGCTGCCTCTGCCCAGGTGGGTTTGCAGTACACGGCTGGGCACCAGCTACCTCTCACCAGCCCTTCCTGGAGGGGCTTGGTGCCAACTTCTCTCCAGGGTTCGCCAGCTAGTATCATGGCTGCTGGCCTCTCCTGTTCAGAACAGTTTTAGATAGAGTTCTCCTTGCTTCCTGGGCTGATGAAGCCTGCCTTGAAGTTCACGATTGCTGGTCATGTGATCATATTGCTGCTTCAGTTTCCCGGAATCAGCAAAGGGGAATAATAATAACAATGAGCTCATTGAGGTATCAGAAGGATTTAGGTCACTGGCATTTCAAAGGGCTTACAGCAATACCTGAGACAGAATACACACTACTCGAGAGTTTGTTAAAATAAGTTTCTGCAGAGCTGGAGAGATGGCTCAGCGGTTAGGAGCACTGTCTTCTCTTCCAGAGGATGTTTCCTTCCCAGCGCCCATACCAGATAGCTCACAACTACCTGTAATTCCAGCTCCAGGGGATCCTGTGCCTTTTTCTGGCTTCCTTAGGCATGTACAGACATATAACATATATATACATGCATACACATAAATAAGTGAAATTATTAAAGGTCTGTAGATATCTATTTCCTATAAATATGTGTGTGAAAGGAAGTCACCAGCCATTTTCAAAGTCACATCATGAATACTTAAAGAGCCTCAAACCAAATCTAACTCAGCTCCTCTGTTTATAAATAAAGTTTTATTAGTGCACATGGGGTCCATTTGTGAGCCCATCTTTATGAGCAACTGCAGAGATGCAAAGTTGTGACAGAAACTCTACGTCCTACAAAATATGGCCCCCACAGAACACATTGGTCTAGATAGTTTTGTACTGTATCAAACTTCCAGGCTGTGCCCTGCTTCTGTGAACTTTGACCTCCCTGAGTCCGCACAGCAGCAAACAGGCTTGACAGTCAGTTATGCAATGGAGTCATGGCTGCCCCTGGCGAGCCTCCTATTGAATCCTGGGGCAGTCTTACATCCTCCCTTTGTTCTTCCAGTGGAATTTTCCTAGTGCCATGATCACCCGGAAAGTGGGGGCCGCCCTAGCAGCTGGCTGCACTGTGGTGGTGAAACCTGCTGAAGACACACCCTACTCTGCCCTGGCCTTGGCGCAGGTGAGTTTCCCTCCGTGCAGCACCAACGGAGGCCCAGGTGCATGCTTCTCAGGGACAGGAAGGAGCCTTTTTGGCATTTCCTCCTCTGCCCGTGTCTCCTGCTGCACACAGAGCATCTGTCTGGGTTCACCAGCAGCTGCTCCACAGCTCATGCTGCTTTCTTTAGTAGAAAAGGGGAAAAGAGGGGAGATTGTCAGCTTCCTGTCTCGATACCCTAAAGGTGATGTTGATATATCATCATTTTTCATTGCACTTCAAATGTGGGTGTTTCTCACATTTAGGAGCTTTCTTGTACTTTTTAATTTTTTATTTTATTTTATTTATTTTTATTTATTTTGGGGGTTTTCTTTTTTGAGGCAGGGTTTCTGGAACTTACTCTGTAGAGCAGGCTAGCCTTGAACTCAAAGATTCACCTGCCTCTTCGGATAAAAGGCATGTACTACCACCACCACCCATCTCTCTCTCTCTCTCTCTCTCTCTCTCTCTCTCTCTCTCTCTCTCTCTCTCTCTCTCTCCATTTCTCTCTTTAAATTTATTTTTGTGTTTTTGCTCTTTTTAAATTTTATTTGTGTATATGTTTGTGTTCTGTGTGAGTGTATGCCATGTTCACGCAGTGCCTGCAGAGACCAGAAGAGGGTGTTGGCATCCCTGCAGCTGGAGCTACAGGTGCTTGCGAGCCCCTGATGTGGGTGCTAAAAACGTACTCCAGATCCTCAGGGGAAGCAGCTGGTGCGCTGAGCCTCTGAGCCATCTCTCCAGCGCCAAGCTTCCTAATTTATTACTCCTGGTCCTAGTTCAGTCTGTATTAAGTCGAATCTTTATTTTTCTGCTTAAGCCTCTCAGGTGGCTTCACATGTCACTTGGAGTGAAATACAGATTGGCTGCAGGGGTCTCTGCCACCTTCCAAACTTGGCTTCCCTTGAGCGCCCCTCCTTCTTCTGTTTAAGTCCCCCTGGCTCCTGCTACTCCTCATAGCCTGCCAGCCTCACCCTCAACTGAGTTATTGAGCAAACTTTTTCTTCTGGAACACTCTCCCCCAGATGTTCCAGTGACATTATGCACTATTACTGTATACATACATGATGAGGGGACAGACACACATGCTACGGCACTCGTGTCGAGGTCAGAGGACAGCTCTGTGGGGTCCGTCCTCTCCTTCCACCTTTACATGGGCTCCGACGTAGGTCTGCAGGCTTCACAGCAGCACTTTACCCTCTGAGCACCGTGCCAGCCCACTTCCTGTCCTTCTGCTCCACACTTACAGAGATGGGGAAAGAACCTAGCAAGTACTCAGCCTCCCCTGCTGTTACTGAAGAAGTGAAGGGACATGTCACCCGAAAGGGATCCCCTTAGCATATCAGGTACTTTGAGGTGTAGAAAATGTTCTTTCACGAAGAGCCACCCAGCCTGACTTTTGTACATGTAACAAGCCAGGAAGGTGCTGTTTGGAAGGAGCGCTTCACCCTGGGAAACCTCAGGGTCGCAGGAGACTAGAGCATGAGACTGTAGCGAGCTAGAGTAATCAGACGGTGAAATAACTGTATGAGTTTTTGTGGCCCCCCAGCCCCCAGTTGTCTCTCTATAACATTCCTAAAGCACACTGTCCTGCCCAGAGATCCACACGTCCTGCATTCCCTCACACATCTCCTGTTCTTTGTCTGAAGAGCATGCGCATACCCCACTGCCATAACTTTTTCAGAAGTTACTGGCTTCTGACAGTCGCTGTACGCATATAAATTTGCTATAACTTCTATGCTTTTCTTTTCTCAGCCAACTTTATATTTACTGGGATTCTACATCCAGCCAAAGAATTCACATAAGAACTAGATCTCAGGGCTGGAGAGATGGCTCAGTGGTTAAGAGCACTGGCTGCTCTTCCAAAGGTCCTGAGTTCAATTCCCAGCACCCACATGGTGGCTCACAACCATCTGTAATAAGATCTGGAACCCTCCTCTGGCTTGCAGGCATACATGGAGACAGAATGTTGTACACATAATAAATAAATAAAATCTTTAAAAAAAAAAAAAAAAGAACTAGATTTCACTGGTCTGGTGGTACGAGCCTCGTATGCCAGCTATTCAGGAGGCTGGGGCAGGAGATTCCAAAGGTTAGGGCTAGCCTGGGCAACTTAGAGAGGAACTGTGGTTATTTGGATGGAAGGATCCCCAACAGGTTCATGTGTTTGAATGTATGGTCCCAAACTGATGGAGCTACTTTAGAAGGTTGTGGGGACTTTAGGAAGGAGGCCCCCAATGGAGGAAACGTGTCGCTGGGCGCGGTCCTCAAGGTTTTGTAGCCTGGCCCCACTTCCTGTCTGCTGTTCTGCTTCTGTGGACACAGTGTTACCCGCGCTTTGGCACCCATGCCCTCCCTGCCGCGATGGTCTGCATCTCATCTTCAACCATAGCCAAGATAAACCTACCCCCCTCAAACCACTTCTTGTTGGGAAAAGCAATTAGTGATAGTGATGGCCATATCTCGAAATAAAATGTGAAGCTGGAGATATAGCTCAGTGGTAGAGTGCTTGCTTAGCAAGCCTGAGGCCATGGGTTCAATTCCCGGTACCACAGAAACGCGCTTGCTCTGCCTTCTCCTTCTCCCTCCTTCTTCAGACTTAGTTCTGCTAGGGGTGGTGCTTTGCACAGCACCAGTACTCAGATGATGCCTCTCTGCTTGTTTTGTTCTTGAGCCTTTGTGTTAGCCAGCTTTCTGTCACTATAATGAAATGCCTGAGGTAACTGCTTATGAAGAGGAAAGGCCTGTTTCATTGCTAGGTTTTGGAAGCTCCAGTTGATGATCCCTGCTCCTTTGTGCCTATGGTAAGGCGGCATATCACGGTAGGAGCAGTGTGGCCAGGCAGACTGTCCACCTCACAGCCAGGAAGCAAGGGAAAGTGGAAAGGTTTGGTTCCTCAACGCCCTGTGGAAGTGTCCGAGCTACTTTTCTCATTGCTGTGACCAAATGTCTTACAAAAGATTGAAAAGAGGCTGGGGGCCAGCCTCAACAAAGTACCTTTCTTCTAGAGTGGAGGCGTGGGAATTTAGAAATAGAGTAAAGAATGCAAAGACGCGAGCAAAAGTAATAAAATGCAAAAACACATAGTATAGTATTGGAAGGGAATTTCAAGTGAGTACTGAAAATTCGTCAGTGTTTTAATTTCCAACAGCTTAATATACTCCTGATTTCAAAAGGTAGAGTAGAACAAAAGACTACATCAACAAACAAATTGGAAGTCATGGGGTACATTCGGTGCTCAGCTCTAGACCAAACACCCTGTAGGCAAACCACTCCCTGGGTGGAATCCCAAGTTATTTCCATAAAGGGAACTGGAACTTAGTTGGATCCTTAGACTTTTGTTTTAGGTAGGAACCAACTACTTCCCTATTTCAGGAGCGCCAGGTCTGGCAACTAGCCACACCTGTTTACAATAGCCTTGAGAGAGCAGAACTCAAATTCAAGACTAGGTGGGACCTTTGTTTGAGTTAGAAGCACTATAATCTTAAACTAAAAACAAGTCCCGAAACTCTCTGACCTTTGGCCTCTTTGGGCATCCTTAGGGGATGCAGTCCATGGCGGCCCAGAAGTCGTGTTGGCAGGACCATGGGTGGCTGAAGTGTGTCTACCATCGTAAGATGAAGTGGGACAGATGCTGGTGCTCAGCTGCCTGCCTCCTTTTCCTCTTTCTGTTCAGTCTGGGGGCCCAGCTCACAGCCAGGGTGTGTCTTCTCTCCGAGGTTATCCTGTCTGCAGTCACATCAAAAATGGAGTTCCGTCATCACTGTGACCTAAAGACCAGTAACTAAGCCACCACACCTGAAGTCCCTCCACTCAGGAGGCTGAGGCAGAAGGGTCCATGTCAGCCTGCACACCTGGGAAGATTCTATCTCAATAAACAGAAACAGAAGCAGAAACAGATGTGGGCCTCCCGCTAGACCCCAACTCGCATTAGAACCCTTGACAGAAAGCAGAAAAGACAAGGTTCATACATTACATTTCTCATGTTCTTTCTCTTGCTCTTGTAGCTTGGCCATCGTTTCTGAACTTCCTTTGTTACTCTCAATTTTGTATTGCATCCTCTCACCACGTCTCTAATCGTCCTGACTGATTCAGGCCACATCTGTTCCTCAGGGTGGCCTGCCTGTGCCCGGTCCCTTGAGCACCTGTGGGATTCCTTAGGGTCTATCCAGGACCTTTCTTCCGTCTCCCTCCTCACACAGGTCTTACCCTTAAAGGTGGCACCTCCACCCACTTGTAATCTGTGCTTGCTACCTCATTGCCAGTTGGTTTTATTTTTGTTTGTTTAAATTTTTTGACTTAACATGCAAAGATATTGGCCTCATGGGTATTGTTTTTATGAGACTAGTAAGGTTAAAAACCTGGGAAGCTACTCCAGTAATCTCAGCACTGGTGAGGGTGAGACAGGAGGATGACCACCAGTTTGAGGTCAATGAGAGCTATAAATAGATACTCTGAGTCAGAGGTATAGCAGATTCAGGACATACTCCATCCAGGGTCCTGCCACGGAAAGGCCCAGGTTCCCAGGTCAGGTGGTTGGAGGGGGTCGCTTCACCCGCACCCACCCCCTGCCCTCATCTCTGCTGAGTTCCTCTTGTCTATGCCTCCCTTTCTTCAACTCTGCCCCACAAGGAACTAGTAAGTCTACCCTGAAGTCTACAGTCAGTCAGAGTTCCTTGAGCTTAGTTAGTCTCAGAAACTTCATGAAAAGCCCAGGTCTGTTGGTGGACTGAACAGGAGGTGGCGCTAAAACTCTTACCTAAAATGCCGTATTTAGGGATACCTAATCGAGATACTTAGTTTATACGTGTGTATCTAGGGGGTTAGGAGTGTAGCTTAGTGTAGAGTCGTGCTTAGTAGGATGAGACTGTGGGTTTATTCCTTAGCACATGTATGTGTATGTATACATATATACAAGTCATTCATATACATACGTGTATATGTGGATCTGCAATAAGGTTTTATTGGTGCTGATATTAATATATATTAATTTTATTACATTTATTTGTCTCTCTGTGGTGTGTGTGTATGTTTGCACCTGAGTATGTATGGAAGTCTATATCCAAATAAGAAAAGGCATTGGATACCCTGGAGCTGGAGAATGATAAGTTGTGGGTGATTGGAACTAAACTCAGGTTCTCTGGAAGAGCTGTTATCATCATGTTATAATGACTGAGCTGTCTATCTGGTCCATAATATATATTTTGGGGAGCATAGGGTCTCCTGTAGCCCAGGCTGGCCTTGAACTCACTATGTAACTGAGAATGACCTTGAGTTTGTGATCCTCTTGCCTCCACCTCCTAAGAGCAGGGGTTATAGACACGCACCCACGTCTGGTTCACCTCGGTATGTTTTTATTCTATTCAAAGGCAAGCTTATATTTTACAGTGTGTTCTGGACTAACCATGTTTATTTCTGATTCTGTTTGTTTTGCTTTCCAGTTCAACCCATGTTATAGTGTGTTTGCTATTTCTCTTTAAAGCTTGCAAACCAGGCAGGAATTCCTCCAGGGGTCTATAATGTCCTTCCCTGCTCTAGAACCAAGGCCAAGGAAGTGGGAGAGGCACTATGTACCGATCCGCTAGTGTCCAAAATTTCCTTTACTGGCTCAACAGCAACAGGAAAGGTAGGTGATGTCAGAGTCAGGCAAGTGTTGTAATAATGCTTTCTATGTATAGAGTATGAAATTACTATTTTATGTTTTGGTTTTGTTTTAATTGAAACAAGGTCTACATAGCCCTGGCTGCCCAGGTACTTGCTATGAAGACCAGACTGGCCTTGAACTCACAGAAACCCACTTGTCTCTGTCTCCCAAGTGCTGGTACTACAGGAATGTACCACCACACCTGAACTGTCATATAAGTTTTGAATTGGGATTAGGGTTCAAAACTCAAGACAGTGTTGGCCTTGTTACCTTTGACAGTATCCCAGCTCATAGCATTGCTGACTCCTTCCTCGCCGTCAGTAAATAATTGCTTTTAGTTTCCTACTACCGCCCTGGTGGTGTCTTTTTAATTGAATCTAATGAAATAAGAGTCTGTATTCTCCAGAATACATTTTATTCATGTATAGAACTCTCAAAGAATATACATATATATAAAATAAAACATTATAAATTATAAAGAAATATATTCTCATGTCTCCCCTTTCTTATATAAAATGATATATAAAGCAAGGTGACCTGGCACACACCTTAAATTTTTCATTATTGGGGTAATTTTGTAAGACAAATTAAACATTTGTTTTACAATTTTTTAAAGCAATTTGTTTTGTTTTGTTTTTGGGTTTTTTTTTGGGGTTTTTTGTTTTTGTTTTTGTTTTTTTTTTGTTTTTGTTTTTCGAGACAGGGTTTCTCTGTGGCTTTGGAGCCTGTCCTGGAACTAGCTCTTGTAGACCAGGCTGGTCTCGAACTCACAGAGATCCGCCTGCCTCTGCCTCCCGAGTGCTGGGATTAAAGGCGTGCGCCACCATTGCCTGGCTTTTTGTTTTGTTTTTTAAAAAGGTTTAGCAGCCTTAGTTAGTTTTCTGTTGTTACAAAATACATGAGAAAGATAACTTAAAGGAGGAGGGAATGGTTTGTGGGATATTATGGAGGTTTCAGGCCATGGTCAGTTGGCTCCGTTGCTCTTAGCCCTACAATGAGGCAGAAGCATCATGGCAGGAGGCATTGACGGAGAAGAGCTGCTCACCTTATGGTGACCAGGATGCAAAGAGAGAAGAAAGGTCCAGGACCAGATACAGCCTCCAAAAACATTTGCCCATGACCCCCTTCCTGAGCTAGACCCCAGCCCCCAGGAATAGCGCACACAGCTATGAACTCCTCCTGACTAATCAGCTATCAATGGGATCACCAGCTGGTGACCAAGTTTTAGACAGCAGGGAGAAAAGGTACTTTCTAGGCAAACAGTCACACCCTGTAAGTTGATCTGGATGCTCACAGTGTTCTCCCGCTGCACCCCATGCAGGTCCTGCTGCACCATGCAGCAAATTCTGTGAAACGTGTCTCCATGGAGCTGGGCGGCCTCGCCCCATTCATTGTCTTCGACAGTGCCAATGTGGACCAGGCTGTGGCGGGAGCCATGGCATCTAAGTTTAGGAATGCTGGCCAGGTGAGTCATGCAGAATGTTCCAGGGCTGGAATTAGGGTGTGTGTTTTACAAAGACCCTAGCACCATGGCCTTGCCTCTCTCCCGGGTTCCTTTGTTAGTTCACGCACTCATTCTGTGAGCAAACATTTAACGAGAAGTTTCTCTCAGGCACTAGTTAGGCTTCTATTGTCCAAAGAGATGTAAGAGATAGTCTGTTGCTTCAGAGAGTTTCGAGAATTGCATATCTTTATTTATGTACGTGTGTGAGATGTATGTGTATGAATACACGTGTATAGGCCCATGACCCTTCTGAGCATGTGCAGAAGCCAGAGGAGGATGCCTGGTACCCTACTTAGTTGTCTTGGGGGAATGGGGGAACTTAGGCTTTCCTAAGAAATCCCGGATGTCAGATTTGACAGGCACCTTCAAGACTTCTGGTATAAACCTAGGAGCTGAAAGCAAAAAGAATGAGCGACTTGGATCATCCTCAGAGTCCCAGAGCTGGGGGCCATTTCCGTGCTGTTGCTCAAGCCACTGCCAGAAGCTGACTGCTTAAGACATACTCTTAGATAACCAACCATACTCTTAGATAACCAACCATACTCTTAGATAACCAACCATACTCTTAAACCAAAGTACAACCAACAAGTCAAAGATCACTGGCTTTTATTTTTTGAATAGACAGGAACTCCCTGTGTAGCCCAGCCTGACACTGAGCTTGCTCTGTAGCACAGGGCATCTGGGAAACTCAACCCTCCTGGAATTAAAAGGCCTGTGCTGCTATGTCCAGCCCAGTGAGCTGTTTAAATGCTTTCCTGAGATAAATAGCCTCAAAGGGTTATGTGTGAAAAGGGAGCTTAGTGGTGCAAACTATTCTGTATAGCTTTTCTTCCTTTGGGAATTCATTTTCCCTTTTCACATAACCTAAAGAGTTTTTGTTGTTATTTTACAGAATTAGAAATTTTTTTTTAAAGTAAACACAAAATGTCAGCAGAGTTTTATTACAAAGCAATGGTGTAAACTGTGTTAAACCAATAAAAATGCAAATAATAAAGTTATAGGTGTACTTATTTCTTCTAGGAAAACACAATAAGGAAAAACCAATTAATCAATGATAAATACATTTTCTACAGTATGGTTATGTTTTATCATTTTAAAATATGAAGTCTACTTGAACAGATAATAAGCCAGTCTCAATATTTTTTTTTTTTTTTTTGGTTTTTCGAGACAGGGTTTCTCTGTGGTTTTGGAGCCTGTCCTGGAACTAGCTCTTGTAGACCAGGCTGGTCTCGAACTCACAAAGATCCGCCTGCCTCTGCCTCCCGAGTGCTGGGATTAAAGGTATGCGCCACCACTGCCCGGCCAGTCTCAATAATTTAACCCAACATAGAAGATGGCCTTTAAAATAACTTTCTAAAGTTGCAAATTTATGAGCTTCCAAAAATATTAATATTTTGTTTTATAAGTGTAAATGTTTACTTGCATGCATGTATGTACACTATGTGTGTGTCCAGTGTCCCCAGAGGCCAGAAGAGGATATCTGAGCCCTAGAACTGTTGTGAGCTTCCATGTGGGTGCCAGGAACTGAACCTGGTCCTACCGAATACTCCTAACCTCTGAATCACCTTTCCGGGTTCAGTTTTTTTGTTTGTTTGTTTGTCTCTCTCTCTCTTTTTTTTTTTTTTTTTTTTTTTTTTTTTTTTTTTTTTTGGCGGTGCTGGGAATAGAACCCATGGCCTACGTATACCGGACAAGCAATCTACCACAGAAATTTATTCCCAGTCTTTTTTTATTATAATTATTTTTAATTATGTGTATAAATGTGTGTCCACGTGTGACCAGAAGAGGGCATCAGATCCTGTAGCCTTTGAATTACAGGTACTTGAATTGGCTAGCATGGGTGCTGGGAGGTCCTCCTACAAGAGCAGTAATAACTGCAGAGCCATCTCCCCGGCCCCAAAAGAAAGGCTTCGTATCAATTTTTAAAATCACAGTTTCAGCAGAACACTTGGAAGGATTAAGCTGGAGGGTATGTGTTATTGTTTGACCCCGTTCCTTCTAGCCTGTGCTGGCTGCTGCTGCATCCCTGTAATGGAACATTACAACCTTTGTCCTTTTATCCCATCTGCTCTCTAAGACTGTAGTGAATGGCTCGTTTTCTGGTTACCTGGGTTTTGTTCACACCGCTGTTTATTCTCGCTTATATGTTTAGCTCTAGATGCATGGTAGCTATGGGAAGACCTGGACAGGTATGTTCACTCGGTGCATGTATTCTCCACCTGGGGACAACGTAGAAGACTAGACCATGAGAACCACTCGGGAAGGGTTACCTTACGTTTCTTGGATCAGTCGATTCTGAAAAACTAATTGTGGGTTTGTTTTGTCTTCTGTCTAGACTTGTGTTTGCGCAAACAGATTCTTGGTACAACGGGGCATCTACGATTCCTTTGTGAAGAAGTTTGCAGAAGCAATGCAGGAAAGCCTGCGTGTGGGTAACGGATTCGAGGAAGGAATAACTCAGGGCCCATTAATTAATGAGAAAGCAGTAGAAAAGGTGAGTTGGTCTTACTACCTGCTTTAAGGAAATTTTGTGATGTCAATATCAAAAGATGTCAGTATCAAAAGTTAAATAAAGGCATTTTCATAAGGTCCCTGGCAAAGCTGTTTTGGAAATAATGGGATGAATGCAAAAAATATTAAAAAAAAAAAAAAGAATTCCTATCACTACCAATGTGATGGTGGCATCTGGACCTGTACTTCTGGCCTCTATCTGAGAACTGACATCGGGCCCATTAGGTCTTCTGCCCTCCCTAAGTTTTCTGTCATAGGAAGTTTTTCCCCTGATGTCCTTCCAGAAGAACTCTAACGAAGGCACCCAGAAAAGGCACAGAGAGTCCCAGGAGTCCCGCTAAGTGATGACAGAGGGAAGCCACTTTTAGGAAGGAATTGTTTGTTGAACATCACAGTTTGAGTGACCGGCAGGGCGAGGTTTCTCTTTATTCCACTAGAGTTAGTTTGGCTTTAGCTTCATTCTTATTACGTTTATTGACTCTGTGTGTGTCTGAGCGTGAGTATGGGGAAGCAGGGCACATGGATGCCACAGCACAGTTGAAGATGTCAAAGGACAAATTGCTAGAGTCCTTCTCTCTTCTGCCGTGTGGGTCCCAGGGACAGAACTCGGGTTCTCGGGATCGGCAGGGAACACATTTACCTGCCGAGCCACCTTACGAGCCCTGGTTTGAGCTATTTTAGTGTGCTTAAGTTATCATTAAGATTAACGGTTACATCCTGGTGTTTTCGTACATATATTTCATTATACTTCATTTTTACCCCCTCCCTGACTCCCCTCCTCCCAGCTCCCTCCTTATTCATTCCTTTCCCCCAAGTAGTCCCCACTCTGCTTTTACATCACATATGTCCCATGTTTTCTTCTCTTGTTTTCTTTAATCTAAGAGCCAGAAAGTGAGGGAGCCAGAGGGGTGGCTTAGAGGTCAAGAGCTCTCACCACTTTTGCGAGCTCACAGGCAATTGTAAACTACTCAACGTAGGTGCGAGGAACCAAACTCGAGCCTTCTGAAAGAGCAGCAAGTGCTCTTAACCACTGAGCTATCTCTACAGATTCTCGGTAATAGCTTTTGATTGTGGGCTTTCTCTTAGGTGTGATTTGATCATGAGTTGCTCTGTTCATCCTTGCCTTTGGAGCGATAGGCTATACTATATCTAGGCTGTGCACATAGCGTACACATTAGGTATGCAGTGTGCTAGACCATCTGGGTTTGTATCAAAACACTGTATGATGTTTGTTCAATAGTGAAATTAGCTAAGGGCACATTTCTGAGACAGAACATCTGTCGTAGGTAAGCAATGCCTTTGTATTGGCAACGTATCTAAACATCCCTTCAACACAGATAAAAGTGGACAAGCGAACCTAAGGAAGTGCAACTAGCCCAGCTTGCAGCAAAGGCGAAGCTAATATGTATATAGTTTTTGCTGTTTAACATTTGAAGAGATGGTACAGTTTAGAAAATGTCCTCATGCGGCCTGACCTAGTGCCCCTCTCGTCTCACAGGTAGAGAAGCATGTGAAAGACGCGGTTGGCAAAGGGGCCACCGTTGTGACAGGCGGGAAGCGACACCCAAGCGGGGGAAATTTCTTCGAGCCCACCTTGCTCAGCAATGTCACCAGGGACATGCTCTGCATCACTGAAGAGACCTTCGGGCCGCTGGCGCCGGTTCTCAAGTAAGGTCCTCCATAGTGGAAGGGAGGAGGAGACTGGAAAGGGGGAGCAGATCTAAAAGCAGCTCCTGCGCCGCTGCAGTTTGAAGGGTGGGGTGGGAGGACTGAGCGCCGCAGTCGGAGCTGCGCTGTATCAGTTGAGTTTATAACATTTTGGTTTTGATTTTTGTGGTTGTGGGTCAGCCCTGGGTGCTGTTTCTTGGGAGCTTAGATATTTAGTTAGGGTCCCTCACTGGAACCTGGGGCTCCCCAGTTAGAGCAGACTGGTTAGCTAGCATTTCCGGGGATCCTTCTGTGTCTGTCTCCCCAAACCTGGGATTACAAGCACTGGCCACCACAACTGGGTTTTCACATTGGTTTTGGGGGTCAAACTCAGCACTTCACCAACAGAGCCAGATACCTCCCAAGTCCCTAGTCCCAGTTTAGGTGTTTGAGTTTTGTCTTTGTAACCCAGCTTGCCTTAGGCACTCAACCTTCTTGCCTTAGCCTCCTGAGTGTTGAGATAATAGGCGTACACCATACCCAATTTCAAGCACAAAATTCATCAGACTCCTTCATTTAGTTTCTTGCTACCTCTAAATGTACTTTTTCCCCTGATGGAGTATACCTTCCAGGTTCTATCCTAGCAGTCTGTGGGAAATGAACTCTGAGCTCATGTGATCTTTTATCCCACCTTACCAAGTAAATAATAGTTTCCCTGGATAATTCTCAGGTCATTGCTCTGAAAATACTTCTCTATCTATTTGGATCCAGGGCCTGGAAGGGCTCAGGAGAGAGCATCAGATCTCTGTGACTGGAGTTACCAGTTGTGAACCACCATGTGGGTACTGGGAATCAAACCCAGGTCCTCTGCAAGAGTAACAAGTACACTTACGAGCCAGCACTCCAGCACCCACTAGTCTTTTTCATATTTGTGTGTGTATGTGTGTGTGTGTATACACTACTACCCAGTAGTCCTTAGTCCTTTTCTTAAAAGATTTTAACAGTGCCTCTACCAAGTTGGTCTGTCTTTCCCATTCTTTTAGTAAAAATGGGCCATGATGACTAACCATGCCTTTGAGGAGACTAAGTTGCCATGTTGGCATTTGTACCCCATTCATGCAGTCTCCCCCTTGGATCACTTTGCAGCTCTGATCTCCTTCTCGTCGTTATTTAGGAAATGAATGCGAGAAAATAATGCTGGCTGTCTTTATTCTCCACCTTACAGTCTTGCTTATGACCTACCTTAACTCTGGCAGGTTTGACAAAGAAGAAGAGGCCGTTGCCATCGCAAATGCAGCTGATGTTGGATTAGCAGGTGGGTGTCTGTCTCCAGCCACCACAGTAAATGCCAGGTTCTGCCTTTCAAGCGTTACTCTCAAGTGTGTGTGTGTGTGTGTTCTGTTGTTGAGACAGGTCTCGCAATGTAACCCTGGGTTGCCTGGACTTTATATAGACCAGATTGACTTTGAACTTCAAAATCTACCTGCTTCTGTCTCAGAGTGCTGGGGTTAAAGGCATTCACCACCTTGCCTAGCAAACTTACACAATGTGTATGCTTTGTTTCTTTACAAGTGGCAAGTGTGGCCATGTGCCAACACGTTTCTTTCTCCTGTGTCTCATGACACACATGTAGAGCGTACTGGCTAGGGCTGAGAGTGGGAGACAATGGGGAGGGTGCAGCTTGTTCTTGGTGGAGAGTCCCATGTAGTTAGTTTCCCAGAGGCATAACGAACACTCATTGCTTTTTCTCACATTTGCCTGGCCTTGGTATCCTGAAGAAACCTAATCAGCAGTATCTACAGATGAGAAGGTGTGTGTGTGTGTGTGTGTGTGTGTGTGTGTGTGTGTGTGTGATCACTAGGTAGCTGCTGTTCTTAGCAGTTTGGAGATGAGATGTTGGCCCTGGGTACAAATACAGAACTGTGGGGTACAGAGCTATAATATATAATCTTCTGGCCTTTTGGCTAAAATCAAGTATAGAGACACAAATAAGACACAGCTGTAGCCCTCTAGAGACTCTCGTGGGTATAATGCAAGCTGTTTAGGAGAGGAGGACAAGCGTGCTAGGGAGCTGAATATGTGCTATCACGTAGTTGTCCTAATGCTGGAGCAACGTGTAGCCCATGGCTTCTGCGAGTTCAAGACCAACACTTCCTTCTTCCTTTTTCAGTGGAGTGATGTGCAGGAAGTCCTGCCTTGCCTTGGGTCCTAAGTGATAAGTAAGATGCTGACTTTGCAGAGATTAAGGAGGTTGAGGCAGAGGAGCCCAAGCAAGTTCAGGTGCAGCCTGGTAATGAACGAGATGACCCTGAACTAGACGGATGAGTTTGGAGACAGAGTCGGGAGTAGGCTGCTGACTGAAGCCACTCTAGGGGGCAGGGTTGACTGTCCACTAAGAAACGTGTCTCTTTTATAGACAGCTAGGACTGACCTCAAGGTCTGAACAGACATGTTGTCCAGATATCTAGAGGGGGATGGATTGAAGGGCAGGAACCAAGAGCACAGAAGTTCCTGGTTACAAAGTCCTGGTGGGAGTGGGGAGAACCCCAGCAAGAGAGAAACAGAAGCTCAACATGGTGCCCAAGGTTCTTAGGATGAAAGTGTGGGCAAAATCAGCCTGAGGCTTTACTTGCAAGCAGGAGAACCCAGGCCCACGTGACCGGGCAGCCTCAAGGGCAAGCGCATGCGACCGTCACAAGAGTTCTTCATGCTATATGTGTTCTTGTTCTTCTGCTAGGGTACTTTTACTCTCAAGACCCAGCCCAGATCTGGAGAGTGGCAGAGCAGCTGGAGGTGGGCATGGTCGGTGTGAATGACGGACTGATCTCTTCAGTGGAGTGTCCCTTCGGTGGGGTGAAGCAGTCTGGCCTTGGGCGAGAAGGGTCCAAGTACGGCATTGAGGAGTATCTAGAGGTCAAGTATGTGTGCTATGGAGGCTTGTAGGGCTCTTCACTTCTCCAAAAAAATAATAAAACCACCTAGATCCGTAGGGACCTGCCATCCGCTTTTTAAAATAAACAAGTAGGTTATCAGAGTTATGAATTTTAAAAAAAAAATTCAGCCAGTCCTCATCATCTTAGATGTAAATTCTCATCCTGCCCATATATAACTAGGGACCAATGGATGCCATATACCTGTGCTGTGGGCTCCAGCACAACCCCACTGCCTTGGGACAAGGTGCAGTGTGCGTGCTCACGAGTCCCTGCCCCTCACAAAGTGTAGTCACTGTGTGGGCAGTGGCTCCGCCGTCCCCAGGCAACTGCCCAGCTTGGGCCCAGAAGGCTGGGAAGGAAATGCTGGGTGATAGACATTTGAACTGGGGTGGTTCACATCCGGGCCTGGGCATCTGTCGGCTTGGGGTGTGACAAAGGCTTTGATTTCCTAAGACTTCTTTCTAAATGGCACACGATTGTCTGTACTATATGGAATGAGGGGGTGTTTCTCTTTGTTTCTGGGCAGCTCTTCTTTCTTTTTTTTTCTTTTGTGAGATAGGGTTTCTCTGTGTAACCCTGGCTATCCTGGAACTTGCTCTGTAGACCAAGCTGGCCCTGAACTCAGAGGTCCACCTGCCTCTGTTTCCTGAGTGCTGAGATTTAAGGCATTAATCACCACCACCCAGCTCTGGGCTGTTTTATCTTTGTTTTTAGTTGCTGGGAGCAGGATTTGTTTGGTTTTGTTCCATTTTGGTTCATCTTCATTTGGTTTGGTTTGACGAGACAGGGTCTTGCTAAGTAGCCTAGGCTGGCTTCATACAATTCTCCTGTTTCAGCCTCCCAAGTGCTGGGAGGCTTCCTCTACCACCCCTGGGTAAATGGAAGTCTCCATTGCCCTAAACTTACAGCTTATGCTTCATTTTATTTCTCTTGGAAAATCAAACCGAGCCGGGGGCAAAAAAAAAAAAAAATCATCAGAGGTGGTTTTGGTGGGATGAAAAGCATGGCTTTTGTTTCTTCTCCAGTGCTGGGTGTTGAAGCAATGGCCTCATGCAAGCCAGCACTGAACTCTTGTCCCTAGTGGGGGTTTTTGTTTGTTTGTTTTTATTTTGTTTTCACTTTAATACTTGAGAACAGGGTCTTGGTTTGTTACCCAGGCTAGCCTTGAGCTTTTTATTGAACTGCCCCAGTTTCCTGACAGGCCTGCACTGTGCAGTTCTGCTGCCTGGGTGTGCTGTATAGGACACCATGTTCGGCTTAAAGGACATTGTGAGCCTGAACTTGCAGTTTAAGCACAGGAACCCTTTGGATTATGAGCAGCACCGCCCACCTTGAGCTCGGGTGGTGGCTTTGTTGAGGGAGGAAACCAGTTGCCCACCTGATGACCTGCCTACATCTGCGCCAGGTTTTCTGTGCCTGGGTACAGCTGCTGCTAAACTTCCAGAAGAGCAAAGCACTTTCATCACTGTGAAAAACGATGCCCACAATTGCCAGTCTCCTGTGGAAGAGAGCTGAAGCCATGACTCCCAGGCACCTTTGCCCTGGTAAAAGCATTTATGGTTCATGATTCAAAAACAACACACACACACACCTTTAGTGGGTAAAGGCTTTGCTAGACAAGCCTACCTACCTGAGTTCCATCTCTGAAGCCTGTGTAAAGATGGGAAGAGAGACCAACTCCACACAACTCCACACAGTTGTCCTCTGACCTCAACAAGTACATCAGAGGCATGCACACACACAAATTAACCACACACACACACACCAAACACACACCAAAACTCCCTGTAACTGGTGTTGGTCTCTCTTTGAAATGATTTAAACGACAAAAAGTCTCGGTTCTTGTAGACATCCATCTAAAACCTGTTTATTCCCAATAGGCAGTATTGGAGGTCCCTGCTCCTTGCCCCTCTCTGTGTAGAGAGCCCACTCACATTCTGTGGATGCTCTGAGATGCTAATGTGGATGATAGCAGAGCTAGCTGCAGTGACTCCTAAACACACCAAGTCCCAAGCCACTGGGAGCTTCCCCATGCTCAAGAAGTAGAAAGTGCCTCTTAGGAGCCCACACAAGTGGCGAGAGTCACACAGCATGTTCAGTCTGTTTGTCCTCCTCCTGTGTAGGATGTAGTTGGTTTCTATCACATCACCTAGCTAAAATTTTTTAATATATGTGGGTGTTTTGCCTGCACTGGACGTCTGTGCACATGCATGCTGGTGCCCTCAGAGGTCAGATCACCTAGAACTGGAGTTACAGATGGGTGTAAGCCACCATGTGGGTGCTGGGAAGTGAACCCCAGCCCTCTGAAAGAGCAGTCCTAACATTTCTAATTTCTAAAGGTTCGTGTCCACTGTTTTTCAGTTAATCCAAATGCTCGGCTGCCAGTTTGTAGACAATGGGCCCACATGCTGAGCTAGGAATAGGGAGTAACTTCAAACACACTGTAAACAGGGTCAGTCGTGGGTTTTGGGGCTGTGTGGCAAATTTTTATGTTTTTGTGCATATATGACTCACTGGGTATATCACTGGCACACACATTTGTTTCAACAAATGTAATCAATTTTTGTAATTAAAATATTGGGAGCGGGGACTGGTGGTAAAGTCTGTATTAGCATGCTGGAGGCTCTGGAACTAATCATCACCACTGAAAATAAGTGAATGAAAGAAGTTCTTAGAATGGTTTGGGGTTGCGGGAAGACAATATTTTGGGGATATATATATATATATATATATATATATATATATATATTTAAACAGGAGCTCTTGTTGTCTCCTGGGCTCAAATGGCCCTCCTGCCTTAGTCTCTCAAATAGCTGCGACTATAGGCATGTCACCAAATCAGTCAGTTTTTTGTTTTTTTAATTTTTAGTGGTTTCCATTGAGTTTGGATTCATGCAGTTCAAGCTCTCCTTGAAACACTTGCCCCTACTTTTTGTGCTGGAATTACACACCCACATATATACTAGCCAGCTAAGAAGTGTTTCTGAATGAACCTTTGTCATTGTTCACTAAGATGTGTGACAGGTGGAATTTTGAAGATGGATCTACAGGCATGTAAGGACAAGTGTTGATGAAGCACAACCTGTGAGCCAAATCCTACCGCCACCTGCTTTTGTGTAACTCGTGAGTTTAAAGTATTTGATATATCCAGATGGACTGGGGTGGGTGAGAGCTAGTTCATGGAATTCCAGTGTCTGTGGATGAACACAGCCACAGTGCCCTGTGCCTGAGTAGCTTTGCTGAGACAGTGTGGCCTGCGGAACCGGAAGGATTTACTGCAAAGCTGCAAAAGTTTACAACCCTCATCTCTACCAAGAGGGAGACACTGGCCTCTGTGTTTGTGAGACATTATTCCATTCTATTGAAAGCCTCCTGTGAAGAAGGCACATTTCCTGGGCATCTGTTACCAGTTCTTGGCAGTAATCATCAGATGACTCAAAGGACATTCGCCTGATAATCCTGTCCCCTTGAAAAGCACTTACTTCCTCCAGTTCGTGGGGCCTACTGAAAGTGCCAAAGTCCATCTGTGTCTTTGTCCATTCGAGGGGCTTTTAAACACAACCCATAGAAAGCGCTTGTTTCTCTTCTGTATCTTTGTTCTTGGGGACTCAGAGAAAATAAAGATCAGACGCACAATGTAAACAAGCCTATTTGGTGATGTCATAACCTTCAAATTGGGTCCCTTGAGCTTGCCTCTCTGGAGGCTGGGTCCCAGTGTTTTAATTACCCCCATATGCAGCTATTTAAAAACAGAATTTTACTTGAATAATACTTAAAACTGTGATTGTTTTATGCCATACTTTGTGAGAAAAACCTTAGGAATTGATGAGAAATATTTTGCTCTGTAAACATGCATATGGTGACTCATTTTTCTAGTGTTTGACATTGGTCAACAGAGTTGAATCTCTTAATAAATGTTGAACTAACAAGACTTTTATCTCTGTGTTGGAGTGGCTGTGTTGTTTTTGCCTTTTTTCTACACCAGATCATTGTTGAGGAACTTTTTTTAATCATTTGCGTTTAACTGGATAGTGTTAGACCAGTGGGGATGTAACGTGTACTTCCTCTAACCAGGCCACAATCCACCGCCCCAGAGAAGCTAGGATCAAGGAGGACCCTAAGAGGGACCTGCATGGATGGCCCTAGGAAAAGGCAGTAGAAAGGATCTCCTGGGTAAACTGGGGAGGGGCCAGTAATGGAGTGAGAACATGAGGTAAATGATGGTCGTGTTGGGGGAGGGACAGAGAGGGAGAGCAATGGAAGAGACATCTTGACTGAGCTCCCAGTATCCAGTCAAAGAGAGGAAGGAGGGATTCATAGGAGCAAGAGGTGGGGGCAAGATCATGATGGGGAAACCCACAGAGACAGCTGACCTGTGCTAGTAGGAGCTCATGGACTCTGGACCAACAACTAGGGAGCCCTCTGAATGCGATGACAGTTGTGTGGCTTGGGCAGTTTGTGAGACCCTGGCAGTGGGACCAGGATTTATCCCTGGTGCATAAACTGGCATTTGGAGCCCATTCACTATGGTGGGATACCTTGCTCAGGTTTGATGCATTGGGGAGGGTCTTGGTCCTGCCCCAACTTGATATATGCCAGGCTCAGTTGACTACCCATGGAGTCATGGAAGGCCTTAGGCTGAAGAGTAGATGGGGGGGTGGGAGGAGCAGGGGAAGTGGGAGGAGGAGAGGGAGCAGGAACCGTGGTTGGTGTGTAAAATGAATTATCAAAAGAGAAATAAAGAAAGACCACTAAAGAACAAACAAACGAATTTGTACTTCCTCACCAATGAGCCCCAGATCAACGAGTACCTTGTGCTGGGACTAGGACCTTAGCAACACCAAGTATTTGAAACAAGGTCTCTGCTTGTGCGGCTGCCTATGCAGCTCCAGCCTTCAATCTCTTCTCCACACTCCGGTAGCCACTTTTCCAGTCTTTTATTTTACAGAGAAAGCATGAAGAAGACATTTTTCTGAGTCCCTGGAATCCAGGTACGATCCTCGAATATGAACACTTGTCCGAGTGCATTTTCCGTTGCTAATAACACATTGCCACAGCTTGTGTACTTGTTTTGTTTTGGCGCACGGCTCTGGTACTAGGTCAAAGCCTTTGGCAATGGCCTTGCTAGCAGAGTCCCTAGGCAGAGTAGGGCCTTCCACGTAAAAGGCCTGACCAAATATAACCCATGGAGTTCGTGGGAGGTTGCATCCGTGCAGGCAAAGCCCTAGTCAGCTCTGGAAAGGTCCCACATGACCCCGCCTCTTGGGCCTACAGAAGGCCCTCTCCGTGTTTCCCCACTAGGCCCGTGTACCCCCTGGGAACCCTCTGTGGGGCCTAGTCACCCAGTGGTAACACTAAAATTGGATTAGGGCCCACCCTTGCAGTCTCATTTTGAGTTACTCTTAAAAGACTCATCTCTTCATACATTCTAGAATTTGGGGGTTAGGAGTTCAACGTATGAACTGTGGTCGCAGGGTCCCTGTGCCAGGGCAACCGTCTTCCCTCAAGTCTGGACTTGGAATGTTGACATTTCCCCTCCCCAAGTCCAACGCCCATTGAGTCCATTTAAGGAGCAACAGCAGCGGGAACTCCAGGCAGAGCCTTGATCAGGGTTGAACCAGAAAAGGGCAAGCTCCCAGGCCTCCTCCAGGAGCAGAGTTCCCCTCAGATCCCAGTTGGACGTGATGAAGGCAGGAGGGAGGTACTGCTTCACAAATCATCAAGACAGAAAGGGTTGGCAGTGGACTTCCCACCTCAGTATCGGGGCCTGCAGCTCACAGACCTGAGGTCTTCCCCTTCCCCCCCGCAGAGTGCACAGGCAACGGCCCCTCCCTGAGTGACAACTAGCAGAGGCACAGACAGCCCCCCCCCCCCATCGGCTTTCTCCACAGGGCTCAACAATGACTTTGAATAAACCCCAAGACTGCTCAGAGGGTCTCCTTCAACTCCTGGCTTGCGAACGAATTAAGGAGAAAATAGTTTATGAGAATGAGGTGAGCCCCAAAGGATGGAGGCCAAGCCAAATCCCAAGGAACTGGAGACGCAGTCAGACACTGGCATGTTCACACCAGGGGCAATTTCTTTCAGAAGCCCGGAGGTCACTTCAGTCATAGGAAAGCAGAAGGCAGGAGAGCTGAAAGCCTCTTCCTCTAAGAAAAAACGAAGTGTGTTCTGGGACAAGGGAGGAAGCCGACCTAGAGAAAAGAGGGTGGGGGACACTCAGTTATACCTTTGAGAAAGATTTTAAAAATCGTTTTCGTTTTTCATGAGGAAAAATGTGTTCGCCAGCTTTCTGTCGCTGGCCACAATACCCGAGATAATGAATTTACAAAAAAGAAAGGCTCTATTCTGACTCACCGGTCCAGTCCACCACTGTGAGCCGCTTGCTCTGGAAGCGGGGAACAGGCTGAGCACCAACCCCTCTGGACAGAGGGAACCGGTTCCCAGGGCGGGTAGAGAAGCAGAGCGGAGCGAGGAAGGCACGCGCACCTATGAGGTCACTTCCTTCCACTGGGACCCACCTCTTAAAGCTTCCAGTGCCTTCCAGATGTAGTAGTAGGGTCTGGGGAATCAAGTCTTCCCCGCGCTAACCTTCCAGGGACGTTTTAGATCCCAACACTGGCCGAAGATCATTGTTGTTGAGCTGATGCATGTTTGCTTCTTTTACTTAAAAAACTCAGAAAAACACAAAATTCTTCCAAGATGATGATGACCAAAGAGACTTCCATGGTAAGGAGTAGTAGTCTAGTCTCAGGACAGGACCGCCTCAGTTTACCCCAACAAAATTGCTAACAGACTGATTGATGCGAACACCGTGGAGACAGCTTATTGAAGAAGGAAGTTTAAAAAATTAGGCCGGGCGGTGGTGGCGCACGCCTTTAATCCCAGCACTCGGGAGGCAGAGGCAGGCGGATCTCTGTGAGTTCGAGACCAGCCTGGTCTACAAGAGCTAGTTCCAGGACAGGCTCCAAAACCACAGAGAAACCCTGTCTCGAAAAAAAAAAAAAAAAAAAACAACAAAAAAAAAATTAACCCATACAGCATAATTCTACAAAACTAGAAAATTCAAGGGCATCTGGTGGTGAGATTTGAGGAAAGGCGTTGCCTATAAAGGGACACAGAGACTTTTCAATCAACCTACTAGCTTGATTACGGAGATGGCCATACCTAAAATCTATTCATCAAATTATATTTTGTGTATGCAGTTTATAGTAAGTGAATTATACCTCAATATACTTTTTAAAATTTGGCATTTCTCCAGTGCCATGAATTGAACTTAAGGTCCCACACACACTAGGTAAGCCCTCTTCCTGAGCTGTAGTCTCAGTCCTAAATTACCCCAGTATTCCAGAGGCGGATCTCTGTAAATTGCAGGCCAGCCAGGGCTACACTGTCTTTTTTTTTTTTTTTTTTTCCGAGACAGGGTTTCTCTGTGGTTTTGGAGCCTGTCCTGGAACTAGCTTTTGTAGACCAGGCTGGTCTCGAACTCACAGAGATCCGCCTGCCTCTGCCTCCCAAGTGCTGGGATTAAGTACACTGTCTTTTATTAAATTTAAAAAAAAAAAAAGCCAGAGCTGGAGAGATGGCTTAGAGGTTCAGAGCACTGGCTGCTCTTCCAGATGTCCTGAGTTAAATTCCCAGCAACCACATGGTGGTTCACAACCATCTATAATGAGATCTGGTGCCCTCTTCTGGAACTCAGGTATACATGCAGCTAATAATTTTTTTTTAATGTAGTTGAGGACCATGCATAAATCTATTCATCTCGCCACCATAGCAGTTCTTTAAAACCTGCTGAGCTGAAAATGGTCAATTCAAGCTGCCTGTCTGGCCTCAGGAAGGACTATTCAGTCTTCTGGGCTTCAAAAACTGTGTGTGTTTGTCTAATACAGGTCCAGATAATAGGTGTTTTAAACTTCATTCACTTGTTTTTGTTCGTTTGTGATAGGCTTTCTATGCAGCCTTAGCTGTCCTGAAACTTTCTGTAGATCAGACTGACCTTGAACTCACAGAGATCTGCCTGCCTTTGCCTCCTCAAAGGAGCGCACCACTCTAACTTTTAGTCATTGCAGACAATTCCTATTACAGTTAAAACTTTTTGTAGGGGGCTGGAGAGATGGCTCAGTGGTTAAGAGCATTGCTTGCTCTTCCGAAGGCCCTGAGTTCAATTCCTGGCAACCACATGGTGGCTCACAAACATCTATAATGAGATCTGGTGCTCTCTTCTGGCCATACACACAGACAGAATATTGTATGCATAATAAATAAATACATATTAAAAAAGCTTTTTGTAGGATAAGTACAGCCAGAGAATTCATATATAAATGAAGGACTATGATCATGCTCCAAAAAAACTGTTCGTAGACACAAATTTGAACTTTATATATAAGGCATCCGATCAAACAGTTTAATTTTTTTCAGCCACCTGAAACATAAAACCCAGGGCTGGAGATGTAACTCAGGAGTAGAATGTTGCCTAGTATGCACCAGACTAACTTCTGGGTTCCATCCCCAATACTAAGAAAGAAAAAGGAAAAAAAAAAACAGTAAAAACAGAAAACCCATCCTTTTTTAGCACATGCAACATGAGAAAACAGGTGTTAGTTTTCTGAACAATCTCAGGAAAATCTCTCTATGTGGAAGCTTATGGAAAATATATTTCTCCTTCAAAGAAACACTAGAGAAAAGATGGACATTTCTCTTTAGATCAGCACTTGTATTTAATAGTATTATACAAGAATCAACACTTGGTCAGAACGTGTGGAATACATTGAAAAGAATAAAGATCAAGAGTCAGAATCCATGGTAACTTGGTGACCATTTTCTTACTTCACTGGGTGTTTACTTGCTTGCTTGGGGCAGGTCTGTAGCCCCGCCTGGCCTTGAATCCCATCTGCAGCTGTGGGTGGTGATTTGAACTCTTGATCTTCCTGCCCCTACTTTCCCAGTGCTAGGATCTCAGGTGACTGCTGCTGCCTGCTACCTGTCTTTAAGGTGTTTTAAATAGGCTCAGTTGGGGGAAGGCTGGGTTGGACTTTCGTCTAAAACAGTAATTAGCTGTGCTCTCAGCCTCTGAGCTCTCAGCCTCTGAGCTCTCAGCCTCTGAGCCCTATGGATGTTCTCTCCCAGACGCTAGAGCAGCGATTCTCAACCTGGGAGTCGACCCTTTCCCAAGGGTTTCATAACAGTAGCAAAATTACAGCTCTGAAGTACCAACAGAACAATTTCATGGTAGAGGGTCGCTACAACATGAGGAACTGTAAGAAGGGTGGCAGCGTTAGGAAGGTTGAGACCACTGCTCTAGAGACTTGCTCTTCTGTTTACTAACAGGGCTTAGAACCTTCAGGTCCCAAGATCTGCAGTTATAAACAGCACAAAATGAACGCTGAGTGACCAAGCTACTCCCTCTTTTGTTCCCCAGGAAACAAGTGGGTCACAAGATGGAATCCATTTTCCAGTAGTCACTGTGATGTTTATTTCTGCTTTGCCATAGATTCAAGGTTGTTTTGTGATGGGTGGAGCAGAGAGGCCAGGCTGAGATAGCCAAGGACAGAACTGGCACACACACAGGTCACAAACCTAGAGGGAAGGCTAGCTCAGAGTTTGCTCCAGTGGGGAGACTAGGTCCATGGATTCCCACTTTCTCTTCCGCTTTCAGACACACTCCAAGGTTTCTTCTTTGCCCCAGCAGCAGAACTTCCAGGGGTCTGGAAGGCTCACCAGGATCTGCCCCCCAGCATTGAAGGCTGGACTTATTCATGCACTGCACAGCAGGTCTTGGCACTCCCAGATTTACTGCTGACTGTGACCCTGGAAAAAGCCCTTATGCTCCACAGACCTTCGGTGAGTGTCTATGACATAGGCATGTCCCCTTTCGAGATGAATCCTAAAGGTCGATTAATTATGAGCAATGCATACATTATGCATATTTATGCATACATAAAGCAGTGGGTATTCACAGTTGTGCTCTGTTGGTCCAAGGTAGACCACATTCTCTATGCCAGAAATGTCCGGTTCCCTACAAAAGGTAGCATCACACTGGTCTGAGGATTGGGAAGATTCTGTTCATAAAACTAAATACTAGTGTTTAAAAAAAAATCACTTTTCCTCTAACAACATAGATAATACTGAACTAGGATGTATAGGCATAAACCGAGAAATTACTTTTAAAATAAAAGTACATTCCTACACATTTTAATTTGACCATTTTCCCAGTAAAGTATGGTACAGTGCACTCTTGCTCATGGGTTTTGTTTTGTTGTGAGCTTTCTGTTACCTCTAGCTGAGAAATAGAAAATTCCAGAAACAAACAACTACTAAAATTTAAGTTGTGGTCCTAATTCTCCTACTTTTTTTTCTTCTTTCTTTAACATAGGGTCTCGTGTAGTCCAGGCTGTCATCAAACTTACTGCGTAGCCAAGGCTAGCATTGAACTTGTGCTCCTCCTTGCTCTCCTTCCCCAGGTGCTGGGACCACAGTAGTGGGCTCTCCTACTCTTTGAATGCCAAGGCCATTGCCAAGGCTCCCAGCCCTAGGGCTCTGGGCAGCTGGACAACTGCCACAAGTCTGTCAACATCTCAGCTAGCTCCAGTTCATTGCTCGGGTGCCACTTTGTGGGAGGATGTGCTTCCATTCCTCTTTGTGTAAAGAACTAAAATATGATTTAGTTCTTTAAATTTTAGATATGTTTTTAGGGTTTTATTTTATGTGCATGAGTATTTTGCCTACATGCATGAACTCTGTACATTGCTGTTGCTAGTGGAGGCCAGAAGAGGGCACTGAACCCCCTCTTCCCAAACTGGAGTTATGGACAGTTGTACGCCATCATGAGAGTACTAGGGACTGAACCACGGTCCTCTGCCAGAGCAGCAAGTGATCTTGAATATAGTCATTTCTCTAGCACCTTACATACATTTTTAAGCATAAGTAGTGAACTTTCTATCCAGTTACTTCCATGGGAAGTCTTTGTAGGAGCATGGTGACCACACTACCCTCATTAAGAACATGTTTCAGAGTTCTGGAATATGTCCGCAGTCACTGGATCCTTCCCTTTTCTACGGCAGTGCTAAGGTGCATACTCAATAAAAGTCAAGGGAACAAGCAGTCAGTTTAATGTCCACCAGGTCTGAAAAAAAGCCCCACTGTGGTCTTTTTTTTTGGGGGGGGTTGGTTTTTTGAGACAGGGTTTCTCTGTGGCTTTGGAGCCTGTCCTGGAACTAGCTTTTGTAGACCAGGCTGGTCTCGAACTCACAGAGATCCACCTGCCTCTGCCTCCCGAGTGCTGGGATTAAAGGCGTGAGCCACCATCGCCCGGTGTGGTCTCTTTTTCTTAGAGAATGAGAAGAAATGAGCAAGACAAAGAAAGGAATGGTAAAGGCTACCTTCAACACTCAACCTGCAAGTCCTTAGCCCCTCCCCACCTCGGTGCCTCCTGGCCTTAGATGCCGATTCTTCCTTAACTCCTGAACGACCACCATGGTCAACACAGGCAGCCCGCTGCATGCCGATGGATGCTGCCTCCTAGAAGAATGGCAAGCTGATCCGGCAGGTCCTCTGAGAGGCCACTCCTGGAAGGTTTCCTGTCACAGTTTCTACAGGGAAATCAACCCCCCTTGTTTTTCCTAAGCGGCTATAAATAGTAACAAGTGCTAGCCTTATTTCACTGTGGGCAATAAATATAACAAGTGTCCAGCACAGAGACACAAAACTCTTTTCAGTACACTGCGCAGAAGTTTTATGTGCCCCTTTCTCTATTTACTGAGCCTCAGTTGAATAAGCAATGTTCTGTTTTGTCTTGAAAATTCTAAGAACCTGGGTCTTTTAATAAATATGTGGAGCACAGAACAAGGCCCCTGGGAAGGGCTGATAAAGTGCTGTGCCAAGAAGGAGTTAGTTTTGTGTTTCAACTTCCACTGTCTAGTACCAAGTCACAGGCCCAAGAGGTCCCGCCACACACAGCCCATTATCTGTCCTTTGCACAGTAACCGAAGGAAGCTCCATTTCTGGCGGAACCATTCAGGGAACCCTTCGGGACCCCTCTCTCCATCCTCTCTCGGCTGAACAGTGTGTCCTGGTCGCTTTCAAACTCAGACTCTGATACCATCAGGCTAGAGTTGTGCTCGGTGCTCCGGTGCTTGATACCTGGGGAGAAGCAGGAAGAGCGTGAAGACAGGACCATGTCCCCTCACTGTCCTTTTGGCTGTGTTCCTGGGAGGACTGTGGCTTGTTACTTACGTGGCAGGCGGGTTATCATACCAGAAGCTTTGGCTGCTACCCTTGAACTTGAGCTCCAGCTTTGACACCAGCTTCATGACCCTGGCTGGACAAGGTACCTAACCTCTCCGCATCTATGGGAAGGCAACTAAGCTCTCAGCCACTGGTTTGTGGTGAGACTGAAAGAAACTGCTTCTGTGAAGAGGAGGGGTTTGTCAGCAGGTAGGCAGGAATCGAGAAGGTTGGTGAGATAACCAACCCCAAGTACCTCAACCTCTGAGGGGAAAAGGCCCTTTTATATTGCCTTTGGCACTAAGTTCTGTAACTCAAAGGGCAAGCACTCAGTAGATGTACAGCTTCTATTGGTATTCCCTGTGAAGTCCTGTCAGGGCCTCTTATGACGGTGATTTTTTTATTGTCAAGTAAACAATGCTAAAGGCATTAGTGAGGTATACCTCTGTGTGTGACCGTGAGAACTCTTCCAGACTGGGTCAATTGGCTGGGGATGATCTGCCCTGAACGTGGGCAGCACCATCATATGCTCTGTGGTCTTGGGATGAGTGAAAGAGAAGAAGGAGAAACCAGCTTAGGGCTGGCATCCCTAGACCCACACGGATGTGAGTGAGGAGCCCTAGGCTCCCATTGCTATAGCCAACACCTGCTCCTACAGTCAGGTCTTTTCCATCAAAATGGGAGGCAGAGGCAGGTAGAGTTCTGTGACTTTGAGGCTAACTTGGTCTACAGAGTGAGTTCCCAGATAGCCAGGACTGTTACACAGAGAAACCCTGTCTCGAAAAACCAAACAAACAAAAATAAAAACACAAAAAGAAAAGAAACAAAGAGTTAAGTTACCTACAAACCCAGAATCGGCACTGAGCAGCCTCAGAGGGGCAGAGAAGGCGCATTCAGTGGTGGTTAATACGTGAGCATCCAAAGGTTAACTGAAGTGGGTGGGAGGTGTCCTGAGCATAAGGGTCAACACACTTTGAGAAGACAACTTTCTGTAAACTCCTCAGCGGACTGAGTGGATGTAAAGGAAGCAGCTAACAGAAATATGCCAGGGTGAAAGTCCACAGTGGGTCATGTGCCTCATCCCCCTCTAACCCAGAGCAGAGAAGACCCAGGCACTGGGGACACCTCGAGGGAAGAGAAGTCTTGGTCCTGGGGTCACTTGGCAGAGGTTCAACCTTCAGTAAGTTCTTGCAATCCCTCACCCATTAATGTCTCTGAGTACTTGTTGATTTGTTGTTACATTTCTATTACCGTACCATCGGCCTGCTCTCAGGCAGCCTGCCAGCGCTGCTGGGGTTGAAGGTGTTTGTCTTTGCTTGCAGATTCCCAGGCTTGCTCTTCCAGACTAATTAAATGGTTGATTCCACCTTAGTCTCCGTTTCACCCAATTTAATGTTCTGGCCAATGCCTACATAAGGTGTTCAAAGGTATCAGGAAATAGCCTTACCATATTTGGGCCTCAGTTCCATTCTTTCCTGTTCATCCATGTTGTCTAGGATGGTATACTTTGTTTTCTTCCTTATCTTAGTCCTTTTCCGTCTAAAGAAACAACGAAATACTCAGCTCAAGCGCTCAGCATGGTACCTGGGATTTTGCCCACCTAACTAAAGGGTTCACCTGCAGCTCTGGTGCTGGGGCCCTTCAAGCAATGCTCAACACCTGTATACAGCCCAGGCTGCTTTCCCCCATGAGTAATACCTCACTCAGAAAGATGTGGGTAAGCAAGTTTCCCCCAAATCAGTGCTAACCAAGAATATTCAGAGACACAGAACTGAAACCAGCAACCGGAGGGAGGGGCACCTGGAAGAAGTGATAAAACAGCGAAGCCCCACAATGACCTTAGAAATAACTCTGTCTTTTTCCCACAAGACATAAAAACTGGGCCTATCATTAGTGTCTCATGCTAAGCTGGAAAGCATGAATCAAAAGCACTCATTAAAACTACACTAAACTCAGGAAGCAGAGGCAGACAGACCTCCGTGAGGCCCACCTGGTCTACATAGCCATTCCCAGAAACAGCAACATGGTGAGACACTGTCTCAAAACAGACAAGCCACTACACTAAGGCAATCCATCAGCTTGGTCTGATCATGTCACCAAAAGCAAGGGCTTCTTCCTCTCACTTTAATGCTTGCTAGCTGGGGACTTTGAGAATATTATTTAAGACTTCTGTGTCCCATGCCCTCACGTCCAGAAGAGTCCCTTTCTCTTGTGGTTGCTGGGAGGGACAAATACAACAGGACAGTTAGAGCCATCACTGAATCAAATCACTGTTTTAGTAAATGCTCAGTAGTCTCCAGTATTGACCATTTACTTAGATGCAGATGCCTAGAGTATAAAGTGCATCATGTCGGGCCCATGAAGTCCGGTATGTTTTAACACTGGCTGTCAGGTAGTTCGTTAAACAGTGAGACAAATGCAGGTACACAAGCCCAAAGCCGTCCGTCACGCCAGCAAAGGGTCTCCTTCTCTCCCAGTGAGCAAGCACATTAGGTACCTCCTGCAGCAGCAGATGCACAGCCAGGCCACAGCTCCCGTTCCCGCTGTCAGGGTCAGCGCCAGTGCTGCCACGTAGAACACACTCCACTCTGCAAAACGAGAAGGCCGGAGTGCACAATGATACACTGTTTGCTCACCAGCTCTGTTCTGACGCCTCTCAGTGAGTCTGTCGGGGCAGAGGCCAGCTGTGGTGCTGGGACCCCTCTGTGGGGCACGCAACAGATCCTAGCCAGGGCAACAGACTAATGGTGCTGTCTGTTTGGTGGAGGGACATAACTCAGGGACCTCAGGCACACAGTTCAGGCTAACCTGAGAGCAGGAAATCCAAAGTAACTGAAGTGAGTCAGTGAAGCAATAAGAATATGAACTATTAAAACGTTCATTCTAGAGCCCAAGAATCATAACCTTCCCCCCAAAAAGTCTGTATGATATTTTTTTCCTCCTCCTCCATCTTCTTTTTGAGACAAGCTCTCACATAAACTAAGCTGGTCTTGAACTCACTACAGAGCCAAGGATGGTCTTGAACTTCTGACCTTCCTCCTCTAATCCCCAGTGCTAGGATTATAGATATACACCCAACACCCGGTTTTATGTGGCGCTGGAGACAGAGTTTTGGGTGTGCTAGGCAAGCGGTCTACCTACTAAGCTGGGTCCCCAGACCCATGCCATGGTCTTCATAGAGCAAGTCAAGGGTCTCTATGTCTGCCTGTGACCTGAAGATATCAGCGCCAGAGGTAAATCTGGAAACTACTCTTCATCCCTTCTACATCCTAAGCTTTGAAGTAATAACTTAGGGGCAAAAATGTCAATGTGTGCCCAAGACAGTGGCACATGCTTTTAATCCCAGGCAGATCTACATCAGTTTGAGGCCAGCTTGGTTAACATAAAGAGTTCCAGGACAGCAAGAACAATATAGAGAGACCATGTCTGAAAAAGAAAAAATGAAAAAAAAAAAACCACCAATGAGACAGACTCATGCTTGACCTGAATAAATATCGTATCATCTCCATAGCATAGCGGTTTGAAGCTGGCTCAACTCTGATGTTTGTGGGGAGTTCAAGAACACAGCTTGGCAGGCAGCACTTAACATTTTTCTGCCATTTATGTCCACCTGGGTCCTCAGGCTAGCAAATTCATTCTTAAGAGTAAACTGCCATTAAAATGTAGCTTTCTAGCTGAGTATGGTGACTTGGATATATAATCCTAAGACTCAGAAGGTGGAAGCAGAAAGATCATCTTCTGCTGTGTAGAGAATCCAAGGTCTGTGTAGAGAATTCAAGGTCTGTGTAGAGAATTCAAGGTCAAGAATCTTCAAGGTGATCTGCTGTGTAGAGAATTCAGAGTAAGATCAGGCTGTATGAATGTGTGTGTGTGTGTGTGTGTGTGTGTGTACATATATATGTCTTATATGTCTTGTTTTGGAGTTGTATATTTATTCATTATATATGATATATACTATAAATACGTGAGTGTGTGTGTAAATGTGTATATGTATGTGTTTGCATGTGGTTTTCTCTCCAAAGAGACTGACAGACACCAACCTGGGCTGTGGGGCAAGACTGTGATTCTTGTGGCCGGTACCTGTCTGGGCTGACTCCTAGCAGTGTGGGCCACATTTCCCATTTTGCATTATCCAAGTATGGGGTGTGCTATCATAAGGTCCCAACATCCTAAGCCACAGCAGGTATATTTGGGAGAAGAGTCTCAACGCAGTTGTTTCTTAGCACTGCCCGTCATGGAGAGCAGAATGGCCTTGCCAAATCTCTCTCTCTGGACACAGACTGAGACAAGGTTTTAATGTGCAATCAAGTGAACTGGTTCACTTGACTTCAGGTAAGAATGGGATTGGGTGGTTCTCTAGAAGCTAAGCCAGGAAAAGATTGAGTGTCTTCAAGAACCACACCAGAAGCCATCATTTTACACACACGCGCGCACACACACACACGCACGCACACGCACATACACACATGCACAGACACACCACACACGCACACACGCACGCACACGCACATACACACATGCACAGGCACACCACACACGCACACACACACACGCACACACACGCACGCACGCACACACACATGCACACATGCACAGGCACACACACGCACGCACACACACTACACTTACCACAGTTGCTCTCGCCATCCCACATATAATGCTGTATGAGGTTCTCCATCCACAGCTGGGAGCAAATGCAACGTTTTGTGATGGGGTCACAGTGACCGTGACCTGAACATTTGAGAAGGCATCCTGTGAAAAGGGGTGCAGAAATGAGGTTTCATGGGCAAAAGGAGGTCTCCAGTGTTCCACTTCTATAGTGGAAGCCCAGAACAAATGGGTGAATTAAAAATCTCTTAAGAAGTTGAACATGGAGGTTCACGCCTTTAATCTCTATACTCGGGAGGCAGAGATAGGTAGATCTCTGAGGCTGAGATTAGCCTGCTGTGGTGGTTTGAAAGAAACTGGCCCCCCAAAGGGAGTGACACTATTAGGAGGTGTGACCTTGTTGGAGTAGGTGTGGTCTTAGAGGAAGTCTGCTACTGTGGAGGCTTTGAGATCTCATATATGCTCAAGCCAAGTCCAGTGTCTCAGACCACTTCCTGTTGCCTGTGAGTCAAGATATTAGAACTTTACACCTCAATTAAATGTTTTTCTTTGTATGAGTTGCCATGGTCATAATGCCTCTTCAAAGCAGTAGAAACACTAACTAAGATACCTGGTCTACAAAATTAGTCCCAGCATGGCCAGAGCTACACAAAGAAGGCCTGTCTTGAGAAAAAAAAAAAAAAAAAAACAAGCAAAACCTAAAATCTCTTATGAGCCCAGCATGATAGCATACATCTAAAATCCTAGGACTCAGGAGGCTGAAGTAGGAAGACTGCAGCAGGTTTGAAGCCAGCCTCAGCTACACAGCAATCACCAGGCCAAACAGGACACCATGGTGAGACCCTGTCTCAACCCTCACCATTACCTCCACAACAGTAGCATCAACTCTTACCATCTCACGGCTCATCAGGAAGCAAATTGAGGGAAAAGCCAATTCCTATCATAGAGAGAACCTTAACATTTACCAAAACAATAGCCTCTGAGAACGTGTGCAATGGAAGCAATCGGGAATGCATAGTGGTTTGTCTTTATCGTAACACTATTTAAATCATCCCGACAGCTCACGGGTAGAAGAGTAGTTGTGTGATTACAGAACACACCCAGGGAGGAAAACCAGGGAGCCACGAATGTCTCATGGAAATGAAATTCTAAAGGATTTGGGGAAATAATAATGGTATGACTTAAAGTCTAAAGACACATGAGAATACCTTGATGTAGCTCAGCGGTAGAGCACTTTGCCTAAACATGTGTAAGACACTAGATTGAGTGCCCAGCAACATACAAATACACACTCACACACACAAGCACACTGAAAAATCAAATCATCTTGGTTGTATTTTATTTCCTAAAGGTGGAGCAACTTAGAAGGAATACCTCAGAATAGTAACAAAAGTTATATTTGGGTAATGGGAATTCGAAACTCTACAAATTAGAGGATTGTTTTCTTCTTTGTCCATTTTGGGATAGTTCAAATTTTCTATAATAAATAAATCACTACTTTGGGCTCTTAGAAAAACAAAAGATTCTACTTCAAAAAAATCAAGTTATCAAGTTACGCATGTTACAAATAAGAGAGTCAATTGTAGGCTAGTGCATCTCTGAAACAAATTATCCTGGTGCAAACATCATATGCTGGTAACTCATTGAGATGACTGCTCCATTAACATTTACTCATAAGATGAGGACAGGGACCATGGAACTATGAATCAGTTTGGTATCTTAAAGGAACAGGCAGAACTAGGAAATACAGTCACCACAGGAAGACATGTATACGCTATCTTAAACTGGCAGGAAAGATTTTTGAAATAATGACACTGCTGTTCTCCTGTTTCTGTCCAAGACAAGAGAAGTGGCAAATGTGTCACAGAAAACCTACTGGAGAAATAAATGCAGAGTCCCTGGAGTGGGGGCCTTGAAGGGAAAATGTCTGTTTCTGTGGCCAAATTCCTGAATTTAAAAGGGAAGGGCTCACAGTTCAGAGGAATACAGTTCATCATGGCAGAGAAGATGCAGTCATGACAAGGAAAGGCAGCTAGCTGGTCACAGTCTTCTACAGTCAGGAAGCAGGAATAGTAGATAGGGGGATGGGGTGAGTGGCTAGAAAACCCCAAGACCAACCCCAGGGGTTCACCTCCTTCAGTAAAGCTCCACCTCCTAAGAGTTCCATAATATTCCAAACAGTGTTCAGAGACACTATGGGGAACATTTTACATTCAACCACAACAGTGTCCATGCCGCGCCTATAAAACTCCTGTAATGGGCAGATCTGGTTTATTTTATTAGAATATTTCCATGGGAGACATACCTGCTGTGTCTACCCTCAAGACCTTGAAAAGTAGGAAGGCTGCCTTCTCCTTTGAAAGCCGCCTGTGCAGATTCCGGGCCACGTCAGCAGCTCTGAGAACCTTGAAAGGTGGCCCGCTCTGTACATAAAATACAATCACAGTGCTGCAGAAGAGACAACGAGAGGACGGTCACATGATGAGACAGTGGCCAGCAAGATGTGCCACCTCAGCCATCTGACCTAGCAAGGGAGCACTACAGCTCTGTGGCTTGTTCTTTCCCATAGCATGTCTTAATGTTCATCCATGTTGTTACAGGCATTATATGGTTCATTTTAACTGCCAATTAATATTCATTGTATCTATGTATATTCCTTTGTGTGTGTGTGTGTGCGCATATGTAAATGATTTGTATAATTTGTTTGTATTTGGGTGTAGATGTGACGGTCAAGGGTCAACTATGGATGCTATTCCTCAGGAGCCATCCAGCTTGTTTTCTCAAACAGGGTCTTTTTCCTTTTGTTTTTTTGAGACAGGGTTTCTCTGTGTAGCACTGGCTGTCCTGAAACTTAGTCTGTGGATGAGGCTGGCCTTAAACTTACAGAGATCAGCCTGCCTCTGCCTACCAAGTGCTGAGAATAAAGGTGTGCACCACCACTATACAGCTAGCAGAAAATGAATCATATAATGCCTGCAACAACGTGTTCTACACACCGGAAGAGACATCACCTGCCCTGTGGCTGGAGAGTCTCCGCCAGGATCCAGACCCTCAGATCAGAGACTTCTGTTAGAGGCTGGATCTGACCTCCAGCTAAGACATATCACACAATGAGCAGCCTTTCAGAGACAGGCTTAGGATTGTACTTAGGAATTCAGCACGAACCTTGCGTGATGACCCTCAGCATAATAAAATGTAACTCTTGTCATACTATGCATGCCTACCTTCTTGCTTGAGACAGTAGTTATCATATCTGACATCGGAGTGCCATGTGCTGGGCATGCGCTCCATACCTGACATCCGTGTGTGCCTGAATCCTGAGCACCTTCACATCCGAGTCCAGCACATTCAGAAGCACAGCCAGCTGCCTCACAAGGGTTTCCTTCTGCTGCTCCATCAGCTGCTCCACACCAACCTGCAGGATCAGCTCCACCAGGCCGTCCTTCTTGGGGTCTGAGGGGACAGAAGATAGGATTTTCACCACGAGACCACAGGCTGTAGAAAAGTTCAAAGCCAGACTGGGCATGTTGGGTCAGGAGACAGATGCTGGCTTAGTACCCACAGGTCCTGGGTTCCATGCCCCGCAAAGCAAAAGAAAGGTCAAAATAAGCAAATAAAAGTTTAAAAGAACTCTTGTCTGTCTATCATATTTAGCTTTAGGACTCAGATTATCCTAAAACAGCAGAGGCATGGGTTGTAGTAGCACGCGCCTACAAGACCAGCACTTGGCCCTGGGGGACAAGAGGATCAGAAGTTTGGCGTCATCCTTACTGCACAGGAAGGTGGAGGCCAACCTGGGCCACATAAAACCCTATCTTAAAAAGAAAGAGAGAGACAGAGGAAGGAAAGGGAGGGAGGGAGGAAGGCACGGAAGGAGGGAGGGAGGGAGGGAGGGAGGGAGGGAGGGAGGGAGGGAGGAAGGAAGGAAGGAAGGAAGGAAGGAAGGAAGGAAGGAAGGAAGGAAGGAAAGGCAGGGAGAACACCACAGAAGCTACTCTGGAGTGTTTATAAATTTCATTCCACTTTATTATCTGTAGCTTTTCTCTCAAAAGATAATCAACTATAACTTTGGGCTGCATTGAAACTCTGACACCTCCCTTCCTTCCTTCATTGTTTTCCTGCTCATGGGTGCTACCTAGTCCAGCTCATGTAGCGTCACCATGCCCACCTCACTGAGGCTGCCCTCCCTCAGCCTGACCATGTTCACTTCATGTTAAATCAGGAAAGCAAAATCTTCCTTTCAGATATAAACTCCTACGATGAGACTGGCCGAGAGGAGAAGCTGGATACTGAGGAACTCCCACCCTGGTGACATCGGCTCCGCACACACCTGGTAGCACCTCCACGGTGGCAGTGTCTGAGTCCGACGCCCCCTGACTGTCCGTGACTAGCAGGTGGAAAGTGTAGACTCCTTCCACCAGGTTGGTGAGCTGCAGAGTCACCCCGTTGTCAGAGCCTCCAATGACATCCTGAGAAGTGAGGAGAGGCACAGGGCAGCTGTCGGCTTTGTACCCAGTCTCCGAGCCTCTCTGGAGCTCAGAGCTCTGAGTTTCTTGTTTTCAGACATATATGACTTATTTGGCTGGGGGAGGGAGGAAGGGAAAGGGGTAAGGTTTTAAATCTTCAGTTCCTCCTTATATGGAACACCAGTGGGTACAAGGACCAAACAAGACGTGGCAAACAACTTTCAGGAATTTCCAAATGATTAATTAACAGAGGATAAGAGCTTGGTTTGAAGGTCCCAGGACAACGCATGGAGTTTTATGGTCTCCTCATCTAACATAGTTATATAATGCTGTCCCCTCGTAGCCCCTCATGGCATATCCTATCCACCTTCTCAAGTGACCCAGAGCCTTGTAGACAGATCACTCATTCAACAGGACCAAAGTCCCAAAGAGTGACAGAGAAATCTTTTGGGCTCTACTTTTGTCTGTCCTTGTTGACCAGAATGGACAGCAATGAAAAGTTAGGAATCTGAACTGAGACGCTGCAGCTACATTTAGGAGCTAATCTATCGTCTAGCTCTATAAAATCCATTCTAGAAGTACTTTCAGATGTACAAGGTGTTTTCAGTCCCTTCCCTGTTCCTACACCTTTGGTATCTACAAGAAAGCTTTTGTAGACATCAAGTCCTTAGTCATGGAATAAAGGAAGACGCAGGGAAATGTACAACCAGAGGCAGAGTGATCCAACACCTTCCAAAAGCTAAAGATCTGGGCCTGGTTTAAGACTGAGCTCTTTGGCCTTGGCCATCTCTATATTTTATTCACTGCCACTGTGAAGTGGGAGTGGAAATCCCCATGCATCTGACATACCTGATACACGAAGGAAGGAAACTAAAATAGGAAACTTGGCTTCCATGTCCCTCGTGATGCCCAGCCTTTCGATACTGTGACATAATGTTGTCATCTACAAATATGTTGGGCTGAATTCACAGCTGTTCTAGGACACAAGAGGCCTGTTACCATGAGTGGGACACACCTGTATGATGTGCTAGCCTACACAAAATCAGATCAGGAAGAGGACTTCAGCTTTGCTTAAACCTATCGGCACCCTGGTGTCTCCAGCCCTCAGAATATTCAAACCCAGAGGTCCCCAAATCTTATTGGGGAGATGACATGGTAAGACAGAAATCACATGTTCAAGCCCTAATCTGCAATATGACCTAACGTTAGAATTTAGAAGAAGGTAGTTAAAGTTGAATGAGGTAATAGGGGAGGGACCTGACCCACAGGATTGGGGTCCTTATATAAACCTTAGAGCGCCCCCCACCTCTGTCCTCCTTTCTCACATGGCCACAAACAGACACAGTAAGTAGGTGGCTACCCCGATGAAGAAAGAGACCACTCTCCAGAGGTAAACAGACCGTCACCTTGATCCTGTGGTTTCAGCCGCCCTGCCTGCAGCCTTTTGTCACAACAGACACACCGATTAGTCTGTACGCAGTGTACATGGCTGAGGGGAGAGTACCCCTCAAGTACTCACGCCAGCAGCTGGACTCTGGCCGTCCCGGATCCACAGATAGGACACAATCCCTCGGTCATCAGTAGACCTTGAGCCATCCAAGGTAATGGAATTATTGGGAAGTGTAAGAACATGTCTGCCACCGGCCTGGGCTCTCGGAGGACTGTTATCTTCTGTGTCAGACACCGCAAAAACAAAAGGCAAGAAATTGACTTAAAACACCACCAACAGCACGGTGTACAACACCTACAACTGCTCCATCTCGTAGCCAAGGTTGTTTAGATTCCCCCAAGGCATTATTTTTCTGCCCCAACCTATAAGATAAGATATAGACCAACACTGAGCAGCTCTTGGTCCAATGGGAAGCCAAACAAAAGCAAGAAATTTTACATTAAAAACCAATATAGACGGCTAGGGATCTACAGTGGTAAAGTGCTTGCCTAGTATGCCTGAAGCCCTCAGTCCAGTCCCTGTCATCAAATAAACCAAGCGAGATGCAGCATGCTTGTAATCCCAGCAAGCAAGAGGATCAGAAGTTCAAAAACTTGTCTTTAAAAAATTGGGGGGAGGGGTATATGGGCCAACTAGATGGCTTAGTGGGTAACGGTGATTGTCATCAAGGCTGATGGACCCACATGGTAGTAGAGAGAACTGACTCGCTGAAAGTTGTCCTCTGACCTACACACACATACACACACACACACACACACACGCACACACACACACACGCACATGCATGCATGCTCACACTGTGGCAAGCACACTCCCGTTCCACACATACACAGGCACAAGAAATAAAAACATAACAAAAAGTTGTGATCTGCTTTAAAAACCAAAGTACATAATTTAAACGTCTTTCTGCTCTTGGGTTTCCAAGGGAGAAGAAAGCAAACCACGGGCCAGAACTGGATCTTTTCCCTGTAAAAGATGTAGGCCCATGATTTCTTGCTCTACACTCAGAGTAGGCTCGTGGCTTCTTGCTCTCCACACTCCCAGGAGCCAGAGAGGACTTAAATGAACTCAACTGCCAGGGAGAAGGTTGGCGCCCCCCGGGCAGAGCTCAGTCAGCTGTGAACTCGAGAGCAAACACTAACAGGGCTGGGTAATCATCACCTGACTTGGGGACCTGGGAGACTGGAAGGCAGGGCAGGTTCAGGTCCTGTCACCAGGTCCACTTACCCTGCTTCACAGCCACGGTGAGGGTGGACGTGCTGCTCAGTCCCTGCTGGTCTCTCACGGTTAGACGGAAGTCATAGGTACCCACCTGAAGCCCAGTGACAGTGGCTATGGCTTTGTCCACATTCTCCATCTCCACAGCACTGGGACCCCTGGAAAATGGGGTTGTTGTAGACAAAAGGTGGGGCGTGAGACCTGAGCCCTAGCAAATGCTTCTACTTCTGGCTGCAGTGGCCATCTGGGTTTCTACAGAGGTCTGAGGTAACTGTACACATGTTCTCTGGCTTGGCATGAGGGTCAAAGCTGAAGCCTTTTTCAAACCAAATGTGCTGGGTTCTGGGGAAAGGATTTTCATCCTTTTTCTCTTTTAATTGAGATGCCACTGAAATATTCTCCCTTTAGAAAATGGAATCTTAGAAATTGCTCACACCTTTCTTTTTCTTTTCTTTTTCTCTTTTTTTTAGATAGAGTCTCACTATGCAGCCCAGGTTAGTCTTGAACTCATGACGAGCTTTCTGCCTCAGCCTCCTAAGTGCTGAGATTAAAGGTGTGCACTACCATACTCAACCTCCTATTTCTTCTTTGAATGAAACTCGGCTAAGCCCTCATCGAGCTCCAGGGCATGTGTAGAAGAGGAAGGCAGGAGGCAAATGGTCTGCCATTGGAGAGAGGAATTGTCTAGTCGTTGAGTCCCTAGGATTGGCTGGCAGACAGATGCAGTTTTGTGTCTCCATGCAGCCTCTTTCAGTCTAGGTACCCTAAACTACTCTCCCTTGCTTATTTCCATAAGCCTGCGTTTTTCAACTTTAAAATGGGATGATGCAGCCCAGCATGGTGGCACATGCCTTCAGTCCCAGCCCTTGGGAGGAGAACGATAAGTGGATCTCGGTGAGTTGAAGGCCAGTCTGGTCTGCGTAGAGAGTTGTAGACCAGCCAGGACCACATAGGAAACCCTGTCTCAGAACAAGCAAACAAACAAAATGGGAACAATGCAATTCCCTCCCCAGACGCCATGTAGAGTACTGAGATCCAGTAGGTAGAACAGGAAATGTTATGATATGAATCTCACCCCGGACTCTGCACACCTGCTCTACCCAGTCACTGGGGCTGGTTGAGTGGAGACAGAGTGTGGCTTTCCCTGCATCGTTTTTTGCCAGGAAGCTCATGGTCCACCAAGCCAGCCCTGTCCACCTGTTCTGGGCTCCGCTTCCCTCTACTGCCCACCAATGTCCAGCTCCCTCAAAACACTCTCCTTTTTTTGTTTGCCTGTTTGAGACGGGGGATCTTGCTATGGAGCTTAGGCTAGCCGACCTCAAGAGTTTCCTGCCTCAACCTCCCAAGTGCAAGGATTACAAGCATGCAGCACCACTTTTATCAACAAGGCCTAGTTACTCTTTGCTCAAATCTTGACTCCTCAACAAGCCCGAGCTGCTGTTTAGTGCAGTCCTCCAGGGAAGGGATGCTGTCACTCGGCGGTGACACGGCTTCAGACCTGGGTAGGTACACACCTGATGTGCTCCCAGTGGTAGCAGACAATGCCGTGGTCATCGCTGCTCCTGCTCCCATCCAGTGTAGCACTCTGCACCGGGAAGAACAGCTCCTTATCGGGGCCTGCCACCGCCACTGGAGCCTGGTTGGTCTCTAGAATTGCAGACATTCAAGAGAGGAAAGAAGAGGAGGAAGGAAAGCAGGAAGGAGGCAGGAAGAGAAGGAAGAAGAGGAGGAAGGGAAGGAGAGAAGAAGAAAGGAGAGACGGTGAGAGGGAGGAAAGGATTATGGGGAAAGCAAAAGGAGGAAAGAGGGAACAAAGAATGCAGGGGAGGAAAGGGAGCCGAAATCAGGGTGCATAGGCTTGCGCTCTCTTGTCTGCAGCTCCGCTGTCTAGCACAGTACCTGTTAAACAGCAAATGCTGACAATATCTCAGTTATGGGCTGGAAAGACCTGGTTTCAATTCCCCGTACCTACATGGTGGCTCACAACAGTCTGTGACCCCAGTTCTGACGCCTCCTTCTGGCCTTCACAGACACTCGCACAAGCCAAACACCCATGTACATAAAAATAAGTATTTTTAAAAGGAAAATATTTCAGTGGGAAGTGGGGAGAAAGGAAATGAAGTACAACATCACTCCTACCGTTTCTGCCTTCAAGCCAAGAGTCACATAGCCACAGCCACTACCATGGAGATACAGCCTCTTTCCCCCACTGTCCTCCTTAAAATGAATAGTGGCTCCCTAATTTCCTACGGGCAAACATCTACAAAGCCCTTCACGAGAGCCCTGCTCTTCTATGGATATCTCATTCCAGGCCTAGACCTAAGCTTTTTTCTCCAGTCATACCATTATTTTTATTTTAATTTCATTTTATTTTATTTTTAGTTCTTCAATGTACCCGGCCCCTTTCATCCTATGGCTTCTGGGAATCTAGGTTCCTCTTTCTAAACAGCTTTCTTCTTGCCCTCCATTCCCCATCCTTCTCCTCCTGACCACCTGCCATGGGTGTGTTAACTGGGAGCCCAGCAAAAGCTATCTATGGGCCCAAGTGCTCTATAGGTGCTCTTTATACAGACACCCTTCCTGACTGAGGAAAGCACCTGAATAAGTCCATGTCACTTCATATGTACTTGCCACAGCCTTGGAAGGGCAGAGGCAGGTTCATCCTCTTTGATTCCATATCCCTAGGGTCTGGCTCAGAGCGCCTTTTACATATTAGAAAATTCATTAGTTGTCTTTCAGCTGAGACTGTCCCCATCGTTAGTCTACCAGGTGACAGATGTGGAGACAGCAGGCCTTTGCTAGAGAAGTTTTGGAGCCAAGATGGTTGTAAACAAGGTCTTGCTGGCTACCTATGACTCTCCTGAAAGCTACAGGTAGCAGAGTCCTGGGTTTTATGAGACTAATAAGAGAGTGGAGCCTGGGTCAATGTCCAAGTGTCTGCTACATCTGGGTGTCAGGTCACACAGTCAGCCTTTCTCCCCAACATGCCCTGGAACTTTCCCAAGCTGAGTATGACAGGCACAGGAGTTACCACGTGATAAATCAGAGACACGGGTCGTGCTGACAGTGACTCTCATGTTGTCTCCTGTACTGTGGTTTGGAGCGTGTGGCAAGATTCAGAACCTCGGAAGGAAATCGGTTTCTCATGCCACATCGGCTCTCATGTCTGATTTCCTATCAGCTCAGGAATCTCAGGAGGCTACCGCCCAGTTAGTTAGACACAACTGAAGCTCAAGGGTCTAGTTTATCATTTCTTCCTTCATCTCTGGGGTCAAATCTCATCTGTGTCTCACCTACCAGCCTGGACAATCACGGCGACCGAAGCAGTGGATTGCTGTCCTGAGGAATCTGTCACCGTCAGCTGAAATATGTACTCTCCTTCCTGCATCTCAGACAAGCGGAGGTATGGGGTCCGCACTCCCTACACAGTAGCAAGTGTGAGAAGGAAACAAGAGGAAGTCTATCAGTACAGAAGTCGAGAGAGCAGCGTGGCACGGCAGGTGCTAATGGTTTCACCTAATGCAGAGAACCTACATGAAAACAAACTTGAGTGCAACGGTGCAGGCCTCACACACCAGCTCTGTGGTGTCCTAATTAGATTTTTTTTTTTTCAACTTGACCCAAGCCAGGACCATTTGGGAAGAGGGAACTTCAGTGTAGAAAATGCCTCTATCAGATTGGCCTGTAGGCAAGTCTGTGGGAGTATTTTCTTGACTAATGACAGATTTCGGAGAACCCAGCCTACTGTGAGTGGTGCTGTATGAGGAAGCCATGAGGAGCAAGCCCTGAGCAGTGCCCCTTCCCGACCTCTGCTTTAGTTCATGCCTCCAGGTTCCTGACTGAGTTTCTGCCCTGACTTCCCTTGACAATGGGTTGCAACCTGCAAGGTGAAATAAACTTTTCCGCCCCAGTGTTACCTTCAGTCACGGTCTTTATCCCAGCAACAGATAGCAAACAAAGACTCTTGGGAAGCTGAAGCAAGAAGGTGGCAAATTCAGTGCCTGCCAGGGTTACGGAGCAAGTTCAAGGCCAATCTGCATAATTTAGCAAGACCTTGCTGAGCTTTAAAAACATAAAAAGGAATAAGGACATTCCTTGCTTGCCTAGTATATGTGAGGTGCTAGGCAGTGCATACAAAAATTAAAAGAAAGAAGGAAGGAGCAGGCTGTGAGGTGCGTGCCTTTAATTCCAGTACAGGGGAGACAGAGGTAGGCAGATCTCTGTGATTTTGGAATCAGCCTAGTCTACATAGCAAGTTCCAGGTCAGCCAGGACTACATAGTGAGAGCCTGTCTCAAAAAAGGGAGGGGGAGGAGAAAGGGGGAGAGTAGAAGGAAAGGAGAAAGATAAAAACAGGCGTGAACCCAAGAAAATGCAGTCTTGAGTCTGTTGTGTGCCCTCACAGCACCGAGGAATGTAAATTACTAAAACCTGGAACTCAGTACCGCAGTGTTGGAACAGGGTCCAAGCATGGCGGTGTAAGGAGATTTCTGAGTGCTTGTGAGAAAACTCCAAGACACCAAGACGAGAATCTCGTGACCTCAGTTTCTTCATAAACACAGAATTGTTCTTGGGTTATACTTTAGTGCCGCTCCCCGGCGTAGTGAATGGGAGTGAGCTCACTTCCGATAATTCATTACAACCAGCTAGTGTTATTTGTTCATGTTCGTGGGCAAACATGTTTTAACCATGAGCAGCTGTTTACCACGTGTGGCTTGCCCTGTGGTTAGACACTTGACGCATGTTACCCCGGCTAACCCTCAGGGTACAAACTGTCTAATGTGCTGAATAATTGGCTGTTGCATGGGACTTTAGTCGACCTCATTCATAGGCTCCATTCTCCCAAATCCACCACCTCTGCAGCGGTAAACAGCATTATCTGCTATGGTGTTTCAGTAAATGGGGCACTCAGAATAACAACTGCTTTTCGGATAATGTAGTTAAGTTTGTGGCTTCTAATGTCTCTCCCAAGACTAAATGACATATTGCTCTAACAAACACTGAGTCAACTTTTTTCCCAGCTGACCTCAAGGGCTAGTTGAAACAACAGGACTGACTGCTTGGTGTCTGTTCTGTGCTTACCTAGGTATGTGACAGTCGGGGGTGTAAACTTGGAGGAGATTTGTGAGGTTACATGCTCTTCCAACATTTCATAGTTTGAGAAATTTATAAAATAGATTTTCTGATTTAACAACCTCCCTAAACCAAGAATAGGTGAATGAATGATACATAGATGATGGATGGATAGATAGTAGATAGATAGATAGATAGATAGATAGATAGATAGATAGATAGATAGATAGATAGATAGGATAAAAGTCTGCAGGCAGGATAGAGGACTTGCCTGCATGACCACCTCTTGGTTCTCACCGCCAGGGCCTGGGGACCACTCATAAAGGACAATCTGGTGATCATCGCTGCTCTGGCTTCCATTCAGAGTGATGGTGTTTTGGGGCAAAGTTATGGTCTGATTTGGTCCTGCATTAGCAACAGGTGGGTAGTCCACAGCATCACGGATGATGAGGGTTGCTATGGTGGAGTTAGTAGCGCCATCTGAGTCTGTGATGGTCAACCTATAACAAGAAAAGGAAGTTCTTACATCCACAATTGGGCCATACCTAAAAGTAAGTGGTCACCTTAGCCTGCTCAGACTAACCCTTCTCAGGAAAAGGTGAGAATAGAAACTTGAGGACGAGGCTAGGAAACGCATACAGGTCATATTTTTCATTGCTTCTGTTGTCATGGATTCATTTTATTTTTGAGTCATAATATGTTCCCACATTAAGGCTTAGCTTTTATGAATTTACTAGTCTTTGAGATGCTAAGTGGAGAATGTACCCTCTCCATGCAACTCAGAAGCTTCCCTAGTCAACTCAACTCATCCTAAGTGTGTTACTAGGCACCCCTCTCAGCAACTCACCCTAAGAGCACCACTAGACCTCCATCTCCAACAACCCATCCTAAGAGCACCACTAGACATTCATATACAACAACCCGTCCTAAGAGCATCACTAGATGTCCATCTCCAACAACTCATCCTAGGTGCATTACTAGATGTCCATATACAACAATCCATCCTAAGAGCATCACTAGATGTCCATCTCCAACAATCCATCCTAAGAGCATCACTAGACGTCCATCTCCTACAATCCATCCTAAGAGCATCACTAGACGTCCATCTCCAACAATCCATCCTAAGAGCACCACTAAACATCCATATACAACAATCCATCCTAAGGAGAGCATCGCTACACACCCCTCTCTGATAACTCATGCTAAGAATGTTACAGAGCCACTCCTGCCTTCCATTTACTGACTGAACCACTGCTTATGAATTTCAGTGATAAAACACTCAATTTCTAAATTCATCTCTAGGCGCTTTTCTACAAGTATGCTTCCAGAACATTCTGCAAAGCATTTTAGGGTTAAACATTTTCAGATATACACAAATGCTCAACATACACACACCAAATAAAGAAGGAGAGAGAGAGGGAGGGACAGAGGGAGAAAAGGAGGGAAGGAAGGAAAGAAGGGAGGGAAGGAGGGAGGGAGGGAGGGAGGAAGGAAGGAAGGAAGAAAGAAAGAAAGAAAGAAAGAAAGAAAGAAAGAAAGAAAGAAAGAAAGAAAGAGGAAACTGCCCAGGCCCTCCTGTACTGAAATGGTCCCTCCTGTGCTTCCAACAACAGTGCACTCTCCATCTGCTAACTCATTTCACCCTTGGTTGGGTGTGGGGTGTCTGTGAGTAAAGCTGTAGAAATAGGAATAGAGAACAGCCCAGGGTAAATGGTATATCAGAGGCCATCTGCATCTTCTGGGTTCCTTTCACACTGCCCACAAACCCCACACAGACAAGGGCCAAACTCCAGCTCAGCTCTGATCACAAACAAACCCCTGGGGTCTCTCCCATCAGAACTTTAACCCAAGTAAGAAAAGCAGAAAAAGGTTTAAAGTAGCATATGAATAGAAAAGTGCTTAAATACCATACTGTTCCTCATTTTCAGGTCATGGACACAGGAGAAATATTTCATTTCCTCTGCTTGGTGATATATTATTTTTATTTTTATAAAAGTATCAGTTTTAAGAAACAATAAAAAGAGAAGTCCTGGGAAAACACAATACAGGAGGAACCCACTTGCCTAAAAGTGTAGTTACCAGGATCTAGGTTCAACAAGCGTAAGACCGGGGCATCAGCTGGAAACACCTCTCCTAGGACGGGCCCGTCGACTTCTTCCCAGTGGTAACTCACTATCTTAGTGTCATCTGTGCTTTCTACAAAGAACAAGAAAACAGTATCCAGAACGGGTTATGGGACTAGTGAGATGAAAGCGTAACCACTTACTGAGAACTTCAGTGTGTTTTGTAGAAATACACGTCTGCCCAGATCCCCATGATGTACGCTGTGCATTCTGCCATCCCCCCAGTCCCTAAATTGTCATCACTATTTTTCTAGACTTGCACAGGTTTGAGCAGGGCTGTTCTAACTCACTGAATATTTAAAAAGCAGAGTGACAGGCACGGTAGCCCAGAATGTAGTGCCTTCACATTCAGCTGCTGCTCATCTTGGTGACTGGTGACATACTTCATATAGATATCTGAACCAACAAGTTCTTGAACATGTTAAGAGTTGATTATCTACAATTCACAAAAACCCCTTTAGCATATTAATGATTAAGATATAAGTAAAAAAAAGACTGCATCATGCATGAAAATTTCCCCACTTAAAAGGCAAACCAGGGTGGGACTGAGAAGGCAGCACAGCAGTTAAAGACACCTGCTACTATGGTTGGTGACCTGAGTTTAATCCCGGGGACGTGTGTGTTAACACACACACACACACACACACACACACACACACACACACACGAGCAAACAGCAGTCTGGGACCATAGCTCAGTGGTACAGTACTTAACCACTATGATTGTGAAGCCCTGGGCTTGATCCCCAGTAGTGAGAAGTGGGGAGGGGTGGTCTTGGCATGGGAGTTCACAAGCATTCAGGAAACTAAGTCAGAAGTATCTCCATGAGTTCAAGGCCAGACTGAGCTAGGTAGTGAGACCTCGTCTCAAACAAAGAACAAGCAGGGCTGGAGGATGTAGCTCAGTGACAGAATGTTTGCCCATCATCCACAAAACCCTGGGTTCAATCTCCATGTCACAAAAATAAACAAATAAATAATAAAAGAGAGCAACAATATGTGTCATGTAGAACCATGGACTTCTAGACCTAGAAGGAAGTTGGACTTTTTGTCAAATTCATTTAAGAAAATAAGTTTATGTGGCCAACTAGAAATCTTGTATGGTTTTCATAACTAAGCTATTCTGAATCAAAAAATTTAAAAAAAATGCAGGCCTTTTTTCATATAATTAGTTTCATTTAAAGTCTTCTCTGCCTGCTAGGCATAGAGACTCACAACCCTATAATTCTAGCATTCCGGAAGGGGTTGAGAGCATTAGGGGGCCAAGGCCAACCTTAAGTACATCGCAACGCAAGTGTGGGCCAACCTGAGCTGCCTGAGAAAGCAAGCAAACAAACAAATAAATGCGCTGTACTTTCATGTTGCAGTGGATGGAGGATGTGGATGTGATGTCCACAGTCTGCAGGCTAGCCGACAGAGCAACAGCCACGAGTGCAGGCTACTGCTTTTCACTCTGGCAGGCCATGGGTTAACTCTGTGACTGAGTGAGCGTGAACGCAGATGCAGAGCACATCACCTTGTTCAACCAGTTCAGCGCTGAGTGTGTTTACAGTCTATTCTCGTTAGTGTGGACACCCAAAGTTACACTATCCTCACCCTCTGGTTAAAGAATAAACTCTGAAGAAATTAGTAAGCGAAATGCTACCCACTCTCACTGCAGCCAGTCCCACTCCTATTTAAAGGTTCTGTTCAATTGCTAATATTACAAATTCTATGTGATTCACAGAAGAATCCTTAGTAATTCTCTGAATTGCGAGTCAAATATCTGACCCTAAAGAACATTGTTTGCTTGTTGTCTATTGTTTGTTTGTGTCTTATGTACCCCAGGCCGGCCTGGAACTCCCAAAGTAGCAGAAGATGGCCTTGAATTCCTCATCCTCCTGCCCTTGCCACCCAAATGCTAGGATTATAGATGCGGTACTACTCCCAGATGAAAGCTGAAGAGCCCGGGACAAGCAGTTAAAACAGACACTGGTTTATCGTGGTAGAACAAGTCTTCTCCACACAGTGAGTGCTCAGTCTGACAGCACAGACAGACAGAAACCACCCAAACATGGAGGATACACACGGCTGCCATCGATGAGGGCTGAGGTCAAAGGCACAGTGAGTTCCTGTATCTGAGGAGAGACAACTGCGACGGGTGGCTGGTTGACTCTTGCAGCTGTGGACAGGAAAAAAAAAAAAAAAACAACTAAGCCAACTTCGCGCACACCAGCCACACACAAACAAAGGCATTCTTTATAAAAGCTGCTTCTGAACATCCTAGAGAGGTCTTCATCCCCCTGAGTCTCAACTATGGAAAACTAAACTTTTAAACTCCTGGGGATTTTGAGCTTGTCTGTCAATTCATATATCTCTAGATAATCCTAGATGCAAGAGGAGAGTCATGGAATGTGTACAGTGATTACAGAAAAGGAAGACTAGATTGCTGGGCCTTATTTATCCCAGGGTAGCCTCCAATTTCCATAGATGACCTTGAACTCCTGCTCCCCTGCCTGTGCCTCCCAAGTGCTAGGATTACACGGTGAATACAGGTGTAGCCAGTGCTGGGCAAGCACTCTACCAGCTGACAACATCACCAGGCCATGAGCTGGATCTTAAATCTTCGAGTTAAGGTGCCCACCACCCTCACTAGACCTCAGCTGTAATAGTTAGTAGACTGTGGGAAAGGGAGAGCTGCTGACCCCAGGAGAGATGGCTGGGAGGTAGTGTTGCTAGAACTTGATGCAGGCCAATGGCTCAGCTGAGCTGATGGGTAAGTGGAAGCTGCAGGCTGGGGCATAAAGCAGGGTGTGCCCAGCAGGACCCCAGGTCATCTCCTCTAATTCACATGAATGCACTGCACTGTGGTCCAGGGATGGACTTGATAGACCATGACACACGTGTGCCCCTGACCCTCTAGGGACACAGATGCAAATTGAAATCTCCATGGTCCTACCTGAAAGTTAGGTCAGGAGGAAAGAAGGTGGATAGTGTGAGTGTTGGACAGGGTGGGCCAAGGTACAGTTTGTCATCATTCAAGAACAGCAAGCCGTTACCTTGTGTACTTGAGGAGCATGGCAAAAAAAATGCTAGAGTACTAGAAAAAGCAAAAGAAAACAGAAAGACTAAACATAATCCTTGCGTGTTTTCTCTACAGAGGTGCCTGAGGTGGTTTGAATGAGAGTGGCTCCCAAAGGCTCATAGATTTGCAGGTTTAGTCACCAGGGAGTGGACCAGCTGAGAGGGAATAGGAGACCCAACCTTGTTGGAGAAAGTGTGGCCTTGCTGGAGGATTTGTGTCACTAGGCTAGGCTTTGAGGTTTCAAAAGGCCACACAGGCCCAGGCTCTCCCTCTCCCATCTCCAGCGCAATATCTCTCTCTCTCTCTCTCTCTCTCTCTCTCTCTCTCTCTCTCTCTCTCTCTCTCTCTCTCTCTCCCTGCAGATCTGGATGGAAAGCTTTTTGCTTCTCCTTCAGCACATGTCTGCCTGCATGCTGCCATGCTCCCTGTCATAATAATAACGGCCTGAGCCTCTGAAACTGTGCACAAGCCCCCAGTTAAACGCTTTCCTTTGTAAGAGTTGCTTGGTCATGGTGCCTCTTCATGGTAACAGAACTCTAACTGAGACAGTGCCTAAGGTAAAAATAAGAGGGGTCCAAACTACAAAGGGCAGTCCAAATATCCAGAGAAGAGTTCAACTTGGACTATAGGAGGATTTCTGGCAGTTAGAGAAAGGCCAATATTCCTCAGGAACTTGTGAAGTCAGTTCCCTCTATCACAAGGGGTCATTTCCCTTGGCAGAAGGGACATATGTCTACCTTGTGTCACCTTTCAGCATATCAAAGTCTATGCTGGCTTCTGGACAGCAAGTACCTGTTACAAAGTCCATGCTGGCATCCAGCCCTTCTCGCCTTCCCCTCTACCCTAAACGCCATTCAGCTCACTGGCTTCCCTCACCCCAGCTACTCAGTCTCCTTATAGCCTTGGTATTCTTGCTATGTTTTCTCTCTGCTCTGTTCCTGCTTCTCTGTGTTTTTCTGTTCTCCTTCTCTTGCTATTCTCCCCTCTCTCACAAATAACCCTGCCCATGTTCAGTCTGCTTCTTTCTCTCTCTGCTCTGGGTTCTTCCAGATGCCTCTGACTGTTCTCGCCACTCCCCCATCTTATCTACAACAAAAACCTCCCCCTTAACCACACCATGGAGCAGTCATATCGATAGTTTATACAACCATGACATCAGATGCCAGAACACGAGACTAGCACAGCCGAGAGGCCATTCTCCCACAGACTCACCTGGCAGGACAGTGACATTGACATACCCTTCCCCGAATGCATTCTCACTAGAAACAGCCACTCTGAAGGTATAGAGTCCCACAGACAGCTGCAACGTAAAAGCAGACACACAGGTGATCATCTGAAGACACGGGAATCACCTTTCTCGAACAGCATCCCAAAGGATGAAAAGAAGGCTCTTTTCAGTCTCTCTAGGACTGCTACTAATGTGAGAGCCGCACTCTAGGAGACTAGGTCACCTACATAGGCCCTTTGCTTAGTCACAGATGTCACAGGCCTTGTATTAGCCACAGACCGCAGCTCTCAGGTGAGTGTGAATGGAACTGTGCTGAATTTTGGGTTTGGGGGGCAGTGCTCAGTGCTGAAAGTGAACCCAGGGCCTCCCATGTGCTCAGCAAGGACCCTACACTAATTTGCACCTCAGTCTGGAATCACACTTTTCTAGCACACAAGTTCACAAAGTTCCTGGCGGAAGTCTGGGTACCACGCTTTGAGGAACAGCTAGTCACACGGCAGTGATGTGAGCTGGTAAGGCCCTGGGATTGGTACAGCGTTATAGGAAGACATTCGTCTCCCAAGGAAACAGACCCCTTGTCCATGGAGACAAGGAAGTGTGTGTCTTCTTGTGTGTGTGTCTTGTTGCATGTGGAGCAGTATTTGACAATCTAAGCAACTAAGCAACCTGTTCCAGCAACTAGACTGGAACTGCTGGAAACTCATAGAACGTGCCTGGCAGACATCTGAGACACCTTTAACACTGTAAAGATGGCAAGAATGAGGACCCAGGCTTTGAATCCAGCACACAGAATGGGCTTCTGAGCCTCTTTCTCCTGAGCTGATGATATGTCAATTTAATTATAACATTTTTTTATTTTGAGACAGGAGATCTGATTATGTTGCCTAGGCTGGCCTGAACATCTAGGATCAAGCAATCTTCTTGCCTCAGTTTCCCAAGTAGCTGAGACTGCAGGCACATGCCATCATGCCAGGCTTCTTCATTTGTTTTTAATCATAAGAGAGGATTCTGGGGTCAACAGCAAAGGTGTCACTAGCTGAATTCTGGGGTGCACAACCTGCCGTGTTACTTACTTGAGGGAGGTGGAGGATCGGCTTGTTTTCTTGTTTGATTTTACCTTGAAAGTCTATAGGGTGGCTCATTAATTCCCATTCATAGCTGTAAGTTGTGTCTGAGAACAAATCGGAAACATGAATGCTTATCAATCCTGAGATAACCCCAAGGAAGAGAGAGCCTTAAACCAATAGTATCAATTGCCTTAGGAACACGGAACTCGGCTTTCAACCCTCATCCCAGTAAGAAATCACAAGGCTTCTGTGTCTTTGCAAATAAAGAAAAACAGGCACAAAAACATATTTATCATGAAAGTATACAAATCATAGAAAATAGAATCTAAAGATTAAGCCTCCCCAATGTCACTGTTAACATTTGAAAACCTTCCTTCTAAGTTGTTTCCAATGCCTTAAAAAAAAAAAAAAAAAAAAAAGACAGGCTCTCACTATGTGATCGGTTAAAGATTATACACTATCTTGAACTTCCTAGACACCTACAACATTTCTGTTAAAGCAGTAAACTTCAGCCATCTCCTGTTGTGGAATATAAAAAGGATGTATCAAGTCTATGGTCTGTGGAGACCTGGGTGAAAACACCCCTGTTCTACCCAAGGCCCAGTCACCCAAGAACGTCAAACTCTTACCTTCAGAGGGCGCTGGCTCAACAGAGGCCTTCAGTTCTGCTTCATTGTTTGGTAAGGTTATCACAAGGTTATCTCCAGCAGACACTGCAAGTGCCTTTACTAAAAATTAATTAGAAACAGTAAACGCCATTATGTAATACAAAAAATATACCTGCTTTTGGAATTATCATTCCTTATATAATTTTATCTAAGGCACTCCACCCTGATCTAGTGCCCTCTGTTATGTTGCAAGATAGACTTTGCCAATTTCAAACTTTCTACGTGAGTTGGCACTGTGAAGAAAATAATCATTCAAAATGAGCTATGTGTCAGGCGATAGTTTACCAATAGGTGGAGGACTACTGATTGAGTTTGTTATCTCTGTTGCAACCAGCTTTTCCTGACTCCCTGGGGAGCGGTCCTTACTTACAAATAGGTCAAGAGTGTTTGTTCATAAGTGTCTCAGCGTCATTGGCCACATGCTCAGATCCGGGAGCTCCTCATAAATGACGGCTAATGGCTTTGCTCTTGGAGCCTTTCCAACAGGAAATCCAGGCAAGCTCAGTATGGAAAGGTAATTTCACTCCAGCGGCAGAGGCATTAACTCCCCTCAAAGCACTTACCTGCTAAAGCACCGAAGGTCGTTTACTGCACAATCCGAACGGCATCGACACAGGCCTGCTGTGGTTTGTCTCAACCGGGCACTAGTCTCACGTCCTTCGTGTTTGGTTCAGAATAAACTATTTGAGTTGAGTTTTCTGTGACCTTAACCCCCCCCAAAACCAAGCTTACTAAGAGCTGAGAAAGACCGTGCCATGTTCAAAGACACCCCAATATTCCCATATCACCATTAGCACCCAGGGAGCCAATCCCAGGGCAGCTTCTCTTCTTCTCACAGCTTCTCTTTCACTACAATCCTCTCCTCACTGAAGTTCAGGATCAAAGTCAGTAAGAGTGAAGGTTAAAAAGCATCAGGAATCAGAACAGAATAGCACTGGCTCAGGGCAGCATCTGGGATACCAGTCAGTCTCAAATGTAGCTGAACCTTTAATGTTGGTAGTGGTGCTATTATTATTGTTGTTGTTGTTAACAGAATTGTATATAGCCCAGGCTGGTCTCTTTCTTCCTATGCAGCCAGAGACGATCTTGAACTCCTGACCTTCCTGCCTTCACTTTCCAAGTGCTGGGATGATCAACTTACACCTCCACACACACTTAGAGTTCAGCCTTTGAGCCAGGCTGTAGGTACAGCCACCCTCATCTTCCGGTTGACATTGGAAATGTTAGCCCTTGATCACCCTCTGGACAATAGACCTTATTTTAGTTTTTATTTAATTTTCCCACTGCTGTAACAAAATCCCTGACAGAAGTGACTTGAGGAAGGAGGCTTTATTTTGGCTTACAGTATGAGGGCACAGACTGTCAAGGCAGGGAAGGCGAGGCAGCGGGAACGCGAGGCAGCCGATCACATAATATCCACAGCCAGGAAGCAGAGAGAGATGAGCCCTGGTGCTCAGCTCACTTTTTCCTTTGTGTGCTGTCTAGTCCTACCCCAGGGAAAGGGGCTGCTCACAGCTCAGGTCTTCCCACCTGGGTGAACCAGATCTAGATAACCCTTCCCATCCTAGACTCCTTCCTAGCTTGCCTTCCCCACCCACAAAGCCAGCTCTAGCCAATTGATCTCCTTTTGGTTCTTCCAATATGCTGTGTGAGTCTTTTCTTTTCTTCTACACAGGATGGAAGAGATCACTCATGGTGCTGAGGTTTAGAGACAACACTCTCAAGACTAGTGATTTCCCTTGGAGAGAAGCCTTAGAAGCTGGAGACCATTGCAGGCCCTTCTGACCCACTATGTTTCTTCTGCTGCCAGCACCGGTATGGGCTTTCTGCAGTTCCCTGTCTCCCCCTCAAAGTCACACCCAAAGAACACACTTTCTTGCTGAAGTACACAACAGAATACACAACCAGAGATACACAGCCCTCACTACTATTAGAACACGTGTTGCTCCCACTCTCCCATGTGAACTGGCTCACCCTAACCTGCCTGTCTCCTCCCCTCCCTCAGAGAGCCGCAGAGGAAAAAGACAGCAGGCCAGTCACCTTTTACTCTGGTTACACAGCATGGTGTCCGCTATGTGTCTGTCTCGAGACTGGGACAGAAGGGAGGAGTAAACCTTAAACACTGTCCCTGCAAGATCCTGCCTCTGTGGTAAATGTGCTCTAATTGTATTCTTCAAAAGTTACCTGTCCTGGAAGAAGTAGTAGGTGACATAGTCGCCGAAGACGGGGTCATCCCAGAAAGGACTGTAATGGTGGGAAATGTTGGGGTGCTGCTTTCTGTGTCCCATGGCGGGACTGTGGGAACAGAGCTTTTCTCTACCGTGGCTGGGCTGGACTCCAGGCTGGCACGGGGAGGATTATGGGAAGGTGTTAGAACCTGCGGGATAAATTAACAAGGGGTATTGTTATGAAAAAAACATTCATTTGGGTTGGACAACCAAATATAGGCAGTGGGTGGTTTGTGCTCACCCCCTCCAAATTCACGAGGAATTGGTGCCACGAGATGGTTTTTAGGTGAGGGGAGGCAGAGTAGGTGGTCAGGTCAAGGGAGTGAGAACCTTCGTGAATAGAATCAGTGCCTTTGTTATAACGAGGCAGAGCTCTGTGGTGGTAACGGCCTAATTAGAACATCAACAGGCTGAGGCTGCAAGATTGCTGATTTTGAGGTGAACTTTGGCTAAACAGCAAGACCTTGTTTCAAAGAAAGAGAAAATGAGGAGAGGAAAGGAGAAGAGAAGAGGGAGGAGGAGAAAGGAGAAGGAAGAGAAGGAAAGAGAAAGAAGAGGCAAGGGGGAAGGGGAAGGGTGAGAGGAAGGAATGGCTGACCTGCCCTTCACCCTCCACAAGGCTGATCTTGATGGGTTTCTATAGATACTCTCTTCAGCAGCGCTGTGGCATGAATAATGCTGCTATGTGACTGTCTTTGCATGGGGAGATGTGTTTACCCCTCTCAAGTGCACACTAGAGGAGCAGCTGCTGGTCATGTGCTGGGGCGATGGGATGTGTTACAGTTTAAGAGCTCAGGAGCAGCAAGCCAGTTTCCCAAGGCATCCACATTGCTGTGCACTCCATCAGCCACGTGTGAGCCTGCAGCTTCTCTGCTAACACTTCCCTAGGTCAGGCTTTGCTGCTGCTGCTGCTGCTGCTGCTGCTGCTGCTGCTGCTGCTGCTGCTATGGACCTTGGACGACACCCCACCCCAGTCTTGTTTTTATTTTTCTAGTATTTTATTCTAGCCGTACTAATAGGCATGAGGTGGTATTATTACATTTTGGATTCAACTTCTTTTACACATTTTATTTATCCTGAGAGCTGGGGTTACAGGCAGGCACCACCACTCACCCTTCACCAATTTTTAAGTCGGGTTGTTTTCTTATTACTGGGTTGTAAAACTTACATTTCTGGATGTTAAGTTATGATACATGATTTACAAATATTTTACTCCATTCTATGGGTTGTCTTCTCTTTCTTGATGTTCTTATTTGGGATGCAAAAGTATTTAATTCTGATGAAGTCAATTTATCCTTTGTAATTTTTATTAAGTTTTTTGTTTGTTTCTCTGTTTTGAGACAGGGTTCTCTATGTAGCTCTGGCTGTCCTGAAATTTACAACTAGGCTGGTCTCAAACTCAAGCAATCCTCCTGCCTCTGCTTTCTGAGTGCTGGGATTAAAGATACACAGCATCATTATTGCCCCTCCCCCCCCCAATTATCTAAACCTCGTTACCAAGGTTACCACTGTTTTAACTCTTTTCATTTAGGTCTTTAATAATCTTGAGTTCTTTCTTTTTTTATATAAGAAAGCTACATCTCAGTCTTTTGCATTTATTATTGGGGCTTTGAAAATGAAACCCCAAACAGATGCTTCAAAAGCCAGTTTTCTCTGGCCTTCTCCTGTGCCTGCATCTTATTCTCCCCAGAAGCTACAAGTCCTTTTCCAAGTACATCAAGAATCTTACACACTATTTTCCTTTTAAAGTCTTAAAAAAAGCTAGAGAGGTAGCTCGGTGGGTAGAGAGCTTGCCTAGCGTGGTCAAGCCCCTAAATTGTAGCTAAACACAGCATAAAACAGTAGAACCTGGCGATCCCAGGGCTCAGGAGGCAGAGGCAAGTAAATCTTTGTGAGTTTACAGCCAGAGCCCCTGCCTGCAAATAATCAGGTAAATAAATAGGAATCCTGAAAGTGTTCCACATCCTCCAATCTCTTCCTTCAGATCTCCGTCAAACACCAAGATTCTTATATTCTCTCTCTCAACCATGTGGCCACTGAGTTCTCCATCAGTTCTGACCTCACAGGATTTCATTCCATCTCTTCTCTCCCAGGGATTCTTGCCCCTCCCCCACTCCCTCCCTAGGCACTTGTTAAAGTGGTGGAGATTCATCCCAGTGTCCTATGAACAAATGTCCCCCCCCCCCGCCCCAGTCATACCCCGATTCGTCTTTCTTTTCTGATATTGGATCTCAGTACATAAAGGGGCCTTGACCCCTTCACTCCTGGGCCTCTTGCCTTCTCCTCCTGGGTAATGGAGACTACTTGGGATGGGACCCTCGTTCTTCTACCACCAGGGGTTTTCATGGAAGGTGTATGGTCTCTTTCTACCCACCAGCTTCACTGTGTCCGTAGCATCTTCCTAGTCACCTGACTGGTGGGGCTAACTATGGTGGAGTAAAACTTCACATCTGTCTACTATGGGAAAATTTTAAAGCCTGTGTGTGTGTGTGTGTGTGTGTGTGTGTGTGTGTGTGTGTGTGTGTACATGCTGGTTCCAAGGCCTAAGTCGTCACTAACATTAACCAGCCATAGAGGATCTGTAGGGAGAAGGGCTTTTAGGTCGAAAGGGAATCTCTGTTCTTTTCAAACTGCCTGCTTAGGAAAGAAAGCACCGCAAAAGAGCACTGATCTGTTTCCCGTTAGCCTCTGACGTTCATCCTTGGCTTCCTCTAGCCTAAAGGAGTCTGGCAGGGCTTACTTAGCCTTGTGTTTCTTCCCTTGCCCACCCCAGCACGTCTTGAGCACACCCACCTCTTTTCCAGAGCTATTACTCGGTTGTTCTTGGAGCTGGAAAGTCTCTCTCTCCATCTCCTCTCCTGCAGGTAAAGTGGTTACAGAGGGGGGCCACACGCTGCTCACTGCTGAGTACCCCGGGGTAGGGGACCAAGTGGACTCCTTCAGGGCCTCCAGTTGCTGCTGGTCCAGTGACTGAGGTGTGGGGTCCTGCAACCTCTCTGAGGAAGTAGCTGAGCTGTCTCCTACAGATGAGACATTGAGACCTCCTTCGCTGCCGGGCACCAGGCTCCAGTCGGGGTACTCGATGCCGCCTTTGGGGTCCTGTTGGCTGGAGGGTTGCAGGAGGTCCCGCTCCAGTTCTTTGTAGTCATCTGGGTACTCGGCAGTCTCCTCCGGACCCGGACCCCCGTCTTTGCCTAGAAAGGGCAAATCCTTCCTGAGATCATCAAGGGAGTCTCCCCAAGCTCCGGAGGGGGAACCCCTGCCCAGCATCATGTCTCCGTAGTCCAGCAGCTGCTCGGGCTTCTGGACAGGTCTGTGCACAAAAGTGAGGTAAGACCGGATGGGGCCTGTCGTCCTGGGCTCGCAGTTCTCCGGGTGCACACAGTTCACCAGGTAGCAGCTGCCCTCAAACCACCAGGCCAGGTCGCAGCTGGAAAGGTCACAGCAAGCAGCCGTGCAGTCTTCCGCGGAGAAGGTTTGAGACGCCCGCATGATTCTAATAGTTTCCAGGTTAGGTGAAATGATGGCATTGGAATAAGTCCTCCCCGCACTGCACTGCTGGCACCTGCCACCTGAAGACCAGAGAGGGGCCAACACTCAACACCAAAAGGCAGATTAGTAAGCAGACAAACTTCAAAAGAAGAAACACAAATGGCCAAAAAATGTTGGAGAAAATATCCAAACTGTATAGTACACCTGTAATGCCAGCACTTTGGAGATGGAGACAGGAGGTTCAGGAGTTCGAGGTCATCCTTGAGAGCTGGAGGCCAGGATGGGTAAACTACATGGGGCCTGGTCTCAAGAAACCAAACAGGGGGGGGGGGGCTGGAGAGATGGCTCAGTGGTTAAGAGCACTGACTGCTCTTCCAAAGGTCCTGAGTTCAATTCCCAGCCACCATGGTGGCTCACAGCCATCTATCATGAGATCTGGCGCCCCCTTCCGGCTTGTGGGCACACATGGAAAGAATGCTGTACACATAATAAATAAATAAATAAATATTAAAAAAAGAAACCAAACAGAACCGAAGTTCATATGCAGAATCTAGATTTAAGGATCTATGACATGCATATACATATTTGCACACACATACCATGAAAGTAGAAGGGAAACTCCAGGAAGAGGAAGGTTCTGAAAGGAGGGGCAGCAGAGGGTAATGCAGGGAAGGCTGGCAGGACATCATGCTTCCCCCAGGTGCGCATGTGTAAACATATATGTGACGTGAAAGGAAAATCATGGGCTGGAGAGGTAGCTCAGTGGTTAAGAGCACTGACTGCTCTTCCAGAGGAGCCGGGTCCAATTCCAGCATCCACATGGCAGCTAACAACTGTCTGTAACTCCAAGATCTAACACCCTAAGATGCAGACAAAACACCAATGCACATTAAAATAAAATAAAATGTTTATAAAAAAGGAATGGATGGAGGAGGGAGGGAGGAGAGAGGGAGGGGAGAGGAAACGGGGCTACAACAATGATACGCGTGTATGAAATGCCACAGTGAAGCCTTTCTTTAAAAATGCTTTATATTTATTTGCTTTTGTGTGTGTATGCACACACATGTACCATGAAGGTCAGAAGACAATTTATGGGAGTTGGCTCTTTCTACCATGTAGATCTCAGGGAGTAAACTTACTAGGTTATTGGGTTTGACAGCTTGTTCCCCCTCAACCTGCTGAGCCATCTTGCTGGTCCAAAGCCTATTGTTTTGTACTAAAAACGTTATGTGTATATCAATATATATGTGTGTGTGTGTGTGTACAAAATCACACACACGTGGGTGTATGTATGTAAATATATATATATGCACATTACAGGGAAACCACTCTAAAAACCCAGAGGCTCCTCCATCCCTGGCTATGCATCCATCCATCACACTTCTCATCCACACAGTCACTGTCTTTCCACTGGTTCATCCATTTTTCACTCACTCACCCACCTACCCACTTGCCCATCTAGTCTTCTATTTTTCCTCTTATCCACCCATCCCTCTGTTCCTCTACCTTTCTATCCACATATATTGTTCCAACTATTCATGTGCGTTTTCACCTGTGCATTCTGCCTCTTCATATGATTCCATTCTTCTCTGCTTGTGTCTCCTGTTTATGTAACTCACAATAGGCCTTGTATAAAAAATCACCATAGAAGTAACAGAAAAGTACTGTATCTTTGTTTTGTTGGTGTTGTTAATTATTTTTTAATCTCACAAGCTATCTGATGATAGATCAGATAAATGTCATTTCTCCTCAGTACATATCTATAATCAAGTACTGTGGAATAGTCCTTTACACCATGTGAAGACTTGTCACTCAGGTTGCTTTAATAAAGAGCTGATTGGCCAGTAGCCAGGTAAGAATTATATTTGGGAAAGCCAAACTAGGAGAATGATGGGAGGAAGAAAGACAGAGTCAGAAGAGATGTCAGCCAGCCACCGAGGAAGCAGGACTTGTAGAAAATGAGGTAACAAGCCATGATCCATGCGATAAAGCATAGATAAGAAATATGGGTTAATTTAAATGTAAGAGTTAGCTAGTAACAAGCCTAGGCTATTGGCTGAACATTTACAATTAATATTAAGTCTCAGTCGGGAAGCAGCTGCCAGTTATTTGGCAACAGTTGGGACAGGAAGACTCTGCCTACAATCAAGTTTTTTTGTTTGTTTGTTTGTTTTGAGAAGGATCTCATTATATAGTCCTAGCTAACCTGGAACTCACAGAGGTCCATCTGCCTCTGCTTCCCAAGTGCTGGGATTAAAGGCGTGCGCCACTATGCCTTGTTTTATTCTACTAGTCAGACTTTCAAAAAGAAACTCTCGGTCTCTCTACAGAGTCACTACAGCAGGCATGTACCGCATGTGCTGGCATGTACTGCATGGTGTGTGTGGTCTGTTAGTTTCCATGACAAAGCAATAGAAGCAAACCTTAGCAGCACGGGATTTCCTTTCTAGTATGGGCTCGTCATTGAAATTTATTTTAATAAATGTTTAGTTACAAGAGGACTGTATCAGACATTGTCTCTAACAGGGAACATATGGAAATAAATAATGCACAGGAACCACCTTTATGCTATCTGTACCCAAGATCACTGGAATAGATTTTTACTAGTACAATGTCAGTAGTACAATGTTAGCATGGTAGATAGCTTGGTGGTCTCATAACACAATGCCAGAGCCAAGAAGATTGCTCAGTGGGTAAAGGCACATGCTGCCAAGACTGATAACCTGAACCCACATGGTAGGAGAAGAAAACTGACCCCTACAAACTTGCCTCCCCACACATGCCATGACACTTGTACATGACAAATGAGTGTTAAATACAACACAATGCCAAACATCAGCTCTATGGAAAGACTCTTTCATCCGATGGACTGAGAGTTAGATACACTGCATGTGTCCCTTTTCTAATTCAAAAAGCAGCACATGAAGCAGAGATGGTATTTTCTCCAATACAAATCTAGCTTTTAAATCACGTGAAGATTTTTGGTCTTTTATTTTTTAGTGAAAAGCTGGATCTCAGACATGGAAAAAAACACTGATTTACCATAGCTGAACACAACAAAAGCATCCCTCTTACGAAGATCAAAAGAGGATGGGGTGAAGCAGGGGTAAGGCAACTCCCAACCTCTCAAACATACAATGGCTACCATTGCATCTCCCCGTAACTTATATGAAGAACCGAGCCAGAAGATTCTCCCTCACCCATGTGGTCAGATGTGCTGTCCTTCACTGAAGGACATGTGTCCTGTCTGGCAGCAAGTGAATTCAAGCAAAATTATATTTAATGCCTGGCCCTGGCCACAAGAGCCACAGAGCCACAGGAATCGGCTTTTACAGCTCTCCCAGGAAACAATGATATCTCCTGGCAATGCTTCCCTACCTGTGATGGCAGCCAGCAGCAGCAAGGACAGGGTCCCTGTAGGGAACACCATTCTGCCTCACAGGATGAGGCTTCCAAGGCAGAGAATTTGGAACAGGCTCCTTTTGGTGGTTGATGAGTCAGATGTGGCCTCTAGAACTTCAAAGAAAACAGAGAGAGACAAGGAAGAAGAAAGGGGTAGGTAAATGTGGAAACACAATATTCCTATCATTTATTCATGTTAATAGAAAAACTATTCACGGAGGGTAGTCATAGCTGAAGCAGCCATCTCTCCACAGAAGTTTACTAAAATAGCCTGAACAGGGGACTGGAGAGATGGCTCAGTGGTTAAGAGCACTGTCTACTCTTCCAGAGGTCCTGAGTTCAATTCCCAGCAACCACATGGTGGTTCACAACCATCTGTAATGAGATCTGGCGCCCTCCTCTGGTGTGTGGGCATACATGGAGGCAGAATGTTGTATACATAATAAATAAATAAATCTTAAAAACAATAAAATAAAATAGCCTGAACAGTTAGTTCCTCAGAAGTTATAAAAATAAATAAATAAATAAATCAGCCAGGCATAGTGGCACAAACTTTTAATTCCAACACTCAGGAGGCAGGGGCAGGCAGATTCTGTGAGTTTGAGGCCAGCCTCTACACAGTGAGAGTTCCAGCCAGGACAGCCAAGGCTAAATAGTAAGACCCTGCCTCGGAAAAAAAATAAAATAAAAGGAAAGGAAAAATGAAAGAAAGAATGAAAGATTTTTATGTTTATGTTACAAACAGTGGAAATAAAGACCAATCAAGGGAGGAAAAAAAGTCTATAGCCGGGTGGTGGTGGCAGCGGCGCACGCCTTTAATCCCAGAAGTCAGGAGGCAGAGGCAGGTGGATCTCTGTGAGTTCAAGGCCAGCCTGGTCTACAAGAGCTAGTTTCAGAACAGGCTCCAAAGCTACAGAGAAACCCTATCTCAAAAAATAAATAAATAAATAAATAAATAAATAAATAAATAAATAAATACTCTATATTCACAGAATGTTACGGCAAAGAATTCAGTCACTACCAATTGATGGAGACTCAAAGGCAGAGGAAAGGAAACTTTGTATAGTGGGATGAAGGGAAGGCTCTCCTGGAACTTGCTTTGTTTTTTTTTTCTTTTTTTTTTCCCTCGAGACAGGGTTTCGCTGTAGCTTTGGAGCCTATCCTAGAAAAAGCTCTTGTAGACCAGGTTGGACTCGAACTCACAGAGATTCGCCTGTCTCTGCCTCCCAAGTGCTGGGATTAAAGGCTTGTGCCACCACCGCCCAGCCAGAACTTGCCTCCAGCTCACAGAGTTCCACCTGATGGAAGCATTTTCTTATTTACTGCTAACTGCTGTAGAAGCTGTTATTTAGCCTCATAAAGCACTAGGGATAGCAATCCAGCTGCCCAGGAGTCTGCTGGCAAGCAGGCTTCCTGAACTGTTTATTACAGATAAAGGTTGGGTTTCTGGGCAGGTTTCTACTTTTATATATGGTTCAGCTGCTGGCATTTGCACCTTCAGTGTCTCAGAGCCCATGTGCCCTATTTTTGCATTTCTAACACGTCAATCTGTTCTTGGTTTACCACCTCTGACATCAGGATTTTTTTTCAGGATTCTTTTTTTTTTAATTGATATTTATTGAGCTCTACATTTTTCTCTGCTCCCCTCCCTGCCTTTTCCCTTACCCCTTCAACCCTTCCCCAAGGTCCCCATGCTCCCAATTTACTCAGGAGATCTGGTCTTTTTCTACTTTCTACTCCCCATGTAGATTAGATCTATGTAAGTCTAAGATTCTGCATAGTTGTCTAAATTCTCTGGGATTGTGATTTGTAGGCTGGTTTTCTTTGCTTTATGTTTAAAAACCTCCTATGAGTGAGTATATGTGATAACTGTCTTTCTGTGTCTGGGTTACCTCACTCAAAATAATGTTTTCTAGTTCTATTCATTTTCCTGCAAAATTCATTGTCTCCACTGAGAAGTCAGGTGTAATTCTGACAGGTCTACCTTTAAATGTTACTTGACCTTTTTCTTTTGCAGCTCTTAGTATTCTTTCTTTACTCTTATGTTTAGTGTTTTGATTATTATGTGGCAAGAGGACTTTTGTTTTTTGATCCAGTCTATTTGGTGTTCTGTAAGCTTCTTGTATCTTCATAGGCATATCTTTTTTTAGGTAGGGAAAGTTTTCTTCTATGATTTTGTTAAATAAATTTTCTGTGCCTTTGAGTTGAACTTCTTCTCCTTCTGTACCTATTATTCTAAGATTTGGCCTTTTCATGGTGTCCCATATTTCATGGATATTTTGGGTTAAGCTTTTGTTAGATTTAATGTTTTCTTTAACTGATGAGTCTTTTTCCTCTATTGTATCTTCAGCACTTGAGATTCTCTCTTCCATCTCTTGTATTCTGCTGTTCATGCTTTAATCTGTGGTTCCTGATCTTTTTCTCATGATTTCTGTTTCTATAATTCCTTCAGCTTGTGTTTTCTTTATTGTTTCTATTTCAGTTTTCAAATCCTGGATAGTTTCTTTTATATGTTTGATTTCTTTTTCTTGGTTTTCTTTAAGTGATTTGCTGATATCTTCCAATTTTTTGTTTGTCTTTTTCTCCATTTCTTTAAGGGAATTTCTCATTTCATCTTTAAGAGTTTCAAACATTCTCTTGAAGTCATTTTTTAGGGTTGTTCAGTTCTTGCTTTTGTACGGTCTTTAGGTTTTACTGGTGTTATGTTGTTCTTTGTAGTGCAGTGTATGATCTTACCTTTTCTATTCATCTTTTCCTCTAGTAGCTGTGGTTGGGGCTGTCTGAGATGCTCTTGAATAATCTTCTAGGTGCCAGTGAATCCAAAGCTCAGATGGTTGTTCCTTGTGGTACAGTCAGTGTCACAGTTCTAGTTATAACATTGGTTACTCCTGTTCCTGGAGATAGCTCAGCGCTCTTGGGTTTTGCTTGTTTCCCTTGGAGTTTGCTGTCTCAGGCCTACTGTGGCCTAGGCTGCTGGCTTTGATCTGTTACTGTAAATTGTGCTCTGGATCCCATCCTGCAGAAGTCCCTGGCTTGGAGTTGGACCTGTTCTGGTAGAGATCACTGATTCTGAATCTGGTCACTGGCTCAGTCCTGATCTGCCAGTGTCCTGGGACTGGGTTGTCTTCTGGGACTGGATTTGCTCCAGGCTTCTGTTCCCTATAGAGCTTGTTTCCTCAGGCTGTCTCTGTCGTAGGTGGGTCATTCAGTTACACTCCTGTGGGATTTGTTGCCCAAGGTGGAGTTCCTTACCTCAGGGCAACTTTGGCCTAGGTTACCTGCTTTGACCTGTATCTGTAAATCCTGCTCTGGATTTCCTCCTGCAGAAGTCCCTGGATTGGAGTTGGACCTGGAAAGGTTTCTGGTCCTGGTCTAGTGCCTGGGTGTGCCTGGACCCACAGAGGACCTGCTTACTTCCTCAGAGGTCCCAGGTTCCTGCCTATTCCCTTTGATGTTCCAGACCAATGCCTAAATCCACAGAGGTCCTGGCTCAGGCCTACTCTCTCTGAGGTCCCAGACTCACGCCTGGCCCCACCGAGATCTCTGGTTCCTGCCTAATTCCCTAGAAGGACTCAGGTTCACTCACGCCCAGACTGACAGAGGTCCTGGCTCAGGCCTAGTTCCTGGGAGATCCTAGACTCACGCCCAGACCCACCAGGGTGTTGTTTTAGGTCTATTCCCTTGAAGGTCCCAGATTCACATCCGGACCCTCAGCAGTCTCTGGCTCTGGCTCACTCACTCAGTGATTACTCCCCTCCCCGTACCTGTTCCGGTGGAGATCATTGACTCTGTAACCGGTGGCTGGCTCAATCCTGTTCCGCCCATGTCCCAGGACTGGATTTGCTCCTGGCTTCTGCTCCCAGTGGAGCGTGTTTCCTCAGACCCTAGCTGTCCTAGGTGGGTCATTCAGTTACACTCCTGTGGGATTTGTTGCCCAAGGTGGAGTTCCTTACCTCAGGGCAACTTTGGCCTATGTTATCTGCTTTGACCTGTATCTGTAAATCCTGCTCTGGATTACCTCCTGCAGAAGTCCCTGAATTGGAATTGGACCTGGAAAGGTTTCTGGTTCTGGTCTACTGCCTTGGAGGTCCCAGGCTCCTGTGCACCTGGACCCACAGAGAACCTGCCTACTTCCTCAGAGGTCCCAGACTCTGAGGAACTACGCAGGGGTTCCAGGTTCCTGCCTATTCCCTTTGATGTCCCAGACCAAAGCCTGAACTGACAGAGGCCTGGCCCTGCTGAGATCTCTAGTTCCTGCCTATTCCCTCGGAGGACCCAGGTTCACTCACGACATCAGGATTTCTTACAATTAAACATGGCCAAGTGGTAGAGGAAGGACTTACTTGCCACAGCGTCTGTGTGAGCACCAGCCACACTGAATTAGGTGTTAGAGGCTGGGAAGAGTGTTCTCAAACAACATGAAAGGTGCTTGGAGTGGCTCAGCGGTACATCATGTGCTTGCTACATACAAGGCCCTGAGCTCAGTCCCCAAATACTAAAAACAAACTAAGAAAGAAATAAAGAACTCATAAGAAATCCTACATCCTCCAATGTATGTGGTATAACAAAGAAACATTGTATGGAAAGCCCACAGACACCAGCGACTGAGCAGAAACATTCTTCAGCAGAGAGTAACTAAAACGGTAATAAAATATTATTATTGTTATTACTTGGAGAATGTGCTGGCCTTGAACTCCTAGGATCAAGCAGCAACATTCCTGCCTCAGCCTCCTTGGTAGCTGGAACCCCAGGCAAGTCACCATGCCTGGCTAGGGAATCTTCACTTAGGCCTCTGTATCTTCCCTCATGTGTTCACAAGGATGAATAGTAATAATAATTCTTCCCAAATAAACCCTCTTAAAATCTCTTTCTATTCCTCCTCCCTCTCTCAGTTCCTTTCTCTTTATTATGTTATTGTTGCTGCTTATTAATGGGTTGTAAAATGTTCAAGTTTCCATAAAAATCATAGTAGACAGAATGAATAAGAGTTGCTTTGTTACAATTTCGAATACATTAAAGCCAAAACCTTTTAACCATTTACTAATTAATTTTTGAAAGTGGCAGACAGAGTCTGGATGCTGAAATCATCCATTTGATCACTACCAAATGTTTCC